TTTTCATAATAAGAAAGGACTCGTGGTTACCATGAAGTTAGTTAGCAACTTTGCTCCACTACATTCTTCCTGCCGTGATGTTTTGCCTCACTCAAGGCCCAAAGTGAGAGGACCAAGCAGCCATGGATATTTTGTCGCAGTGACAGAGGGCTTACTTATACTTTCCAAAGCCACCAGCCTGCTCAGGAATAGGGGCTTCTTCTGAAGAAGGTGAGGGGCCCCTGAGGAGGACTGAGCAGAAATCATATGGTCGGATTATCCCTGGCTCCTGAGTGAGGGGTGAATTGGAAAGAAGTCTAATGATAGTAAGTGTCTGACTTCATGCTGGGTTTATGTATGTGCTCATAAAATGCTCACAATCATTTCTGAAGAAGGCACTGTTATTATGCTCATTTTACAGAAAATGTTGGTGCAGGGAGTTTAGCTTCCCCAGCCAATGTTGCACAGTGGCTAAGTGGCAGAGCAGGATTTGAATTCTGGTTGTTTGGATGCATGACTTACCCGACTGGAGGTGGAGGGGTGGGTGGTGGGGAGGAGTGAAGAAGGTGTTGCAGGGATTGGAGTGAGGGATGAAGGGAACCTGGATTAGGTCAGTGTCTGCAGAGGTGGAGGGAAATAGATGAAGTTGAGATTTTTAAATTTTTTTTTTTAGTTGTGGATGAAGAAATAACTTTATTCTGTTTATTTATTTATTTATATTTTTTAAAAATTCTTTTTTTAATATTTATTTTTTAGTTGGACAAAATATCTTTATTTATTTATTTTTATGTGGTGCTGAGGATCCACCCAGCGCCCCAAGCGTGCTAGGCAAGTGCTCTACCGTTGAGCCACAACCTTAGCCCCAAGTTGAGATTTTTTCAAGAGGTGAAATTCCCAGGACTCATGGATGATTGGATGAGGGATTATTGTTTTAGCCAGCTTTTTTGCTCCTGTGAACAAAAGACCTGACAAGAATTATTTTAGAGGAGGAAACACTTATTTTGTCGTCGTGGTACTTTATAGGGTTACAGGTGTTGTGGGTTTATAGGGTTACAAGTCTGTAGAGAATCTATAGCAAGGAGTAGGAGAGACCTCCGCTGGTATCAGGAAGAGGACCCTCCCCTACCACCCTGATAATAAATAGTCCTCATCAGAGCTGCTAAGTGGACCCGACTGAGATTCCAGATGGCATCTGCTGCACTTCCACCTTCAGACAGGAGGGGGCTCCCGATACAAGGTTCCACCTTAGGAAAAACTCTGGCCCCCTGCTCCTTTGAAATCTTCATGCTTCTGTAACTGGTCTTGCTGGCAATGACACTTTCCCTAGGAATCTAGAGGATCCCTAGGTGATAGAAGGAGGAAGAAGACAGAGTGGAGGTGCGGCTCCTGATGCTGAAGCTAATGTGCTGTTGACCTTGAAGGGGCAGTAATTCCTTAGGTAGAGCCAGACTTTCCCTATTCTCTTTCTGAAGTGGGGCATTCTTTTTTACTTTGACTCTGGAAGCATCATGAAGATCCATCCTGCCACTGAGTAGAACAGGAAAGTCCAAATGCTATATGAAACCCCACTGCTCATGCTCTCCTGGGCTGGCCTGCAGAGTGCACATTGGGATTGCCAACACAGGTGTTAGAACACTGAGCTGCTTCTTTCCAGTTGGTAAAGAGCTGCCATCCAAGTCCTCTTGAGGGAGATGTAGAAGGCCTTAGGCAGCCAGGACAGGATGATGAGTGAGGAGGTCCAGGCCAGGGCTAGAACAAAGGAGCAGGGAGAGGGTCTTCTGATGAGGTCAATTTCCTGCTTAACAAAAGCGCTGGTGGACACAAGTGGGGGACACAATCAGACAGACAGGTCCGTATTCATTCTCCCAAGCAGGGGATCCAATGGAAAAACTAAAACAGACGCATGGACAGAGGGGTCACCCATCAATAATAGTGCGGAGCATGTGGTCAGGGGAGGAGATAAAGAAGGAGGAAATTCCAGAGACCATAAAAAGGACAGCCCAAAACTTTCCCATTGGATTCCCAGCTCTGGGGCTCCTTCTTTTTGAAGAAGTCTATCTCTGTATCTGTGTTGCTTTTGCAATAAACCTACTTCTTGCTTGCTATCTCTGAGTCCTGTTCTTTAATTCTTTTCAGAATGGAGATAGCACCCCTATATGGTAACTCAGCATCCTCCACCTAGCACTCAGGGTCCACTTCCCCTCCCACCAGCAGTTAAGGCAAGTGTACTTTACTTTCTTTCTTTTTTTTAGTTGTAGGTGGACACAATATCTTTATTTTATTTTTGGGTGGTGCTGAGCATCGAACCCAGTGCTTCACGCATGCTAGGTGAGCGCTCTACCTCTGAGCCACAACCCCAGCCCTGCTATACTTTCTCTTTTTTAAAAAAAAAATATTTATTTTTTATAAGTAGTTGGACACAATACCTTTATTTATTTATTTATTTATTTATTTATTTATGTGGTGCTGAGGATCGAACCCAGGGCTTCGCATGTGCTAGACGAGTGCTCAACCACTGAGCCACAACCCTAGCCCCCTGCTATACTTTCTTATGTGCTATGGACGCCTTTGTTATCAATCTGCTAAAGCCTACAAACAATATGAGGTTTGCAAGAACATAAAACATGTTAGAATCTTAAACATTTTATATATTAAAATCCATATATACATGTGTATATATTCTTCAATGCCTACTATATACTATTAAGATATTTGTAATTTTTTTTCATGGTGCTGGCCAGGATCAAACTCAGGACCTTGCACGTGCTAGGCAAGCCTCTACTACTGAGCTCCATCCTCAGTCCAATATCTGTGTTATTTTTTAAAGTGTTTTTTTAGTTGTAGATGGACACAATACCTTTATTTTATTTATTTTTATGTGGTGCTGAGGATCGAATCCAGTTCTTTATGCATGCTGAAGCAAGTGCTCTACCACTGAGCTATAGCCCAGCCTCCAATACCTGTGTTATTTTTCTTTTTTTTCCACCCATGGTACTGAGGATTGAACCCAGGGGTGCTATATTTTTAGTCCTTTTATTTTTATTTCTTTCTTTCCAGTCAGGTCTCATTAAGTTGCTGAGGCTGACCTTGAGCTTGTGATCCTCTTTCCTCAGGTTTTAGAGATTCTGGGATTACAGGTGTGTGCCCAGATCAATACCTGTGAATTCTAGTGACAAAAGTCACAGGTATTGCTGAAGCCACTGTGATTTATTGCTGATGGTCATAATCAAGGGAAATAGTAAATTGCAGGTAGAGGGGCTGGGGTTGTAGTTCAGTGGTAGAGTGCTTGCCTAGCACGTGTGAGATGCTGGGTTTGATCTTCAGCACCACATTAAAAATAAATAAATAAATAAAGAAAGAAAGAAAGAAAGAAAGAAAGAAAGAAAGAAAGAAAGGTATTGTGTCCAATTACAACTAAAAATAAATATTTTTTAAAAAATTGCAGCCTGGTGCTGTGACACACGCCTGTAATCCCAGTGTCTTGGGGAGGCTGAGGCAGGAGGATCACGAGTTCAAAGCCAGCCTCAGCAATGGGCCAGTTGCTAAGCAACTCAGTGAGACACTGTCTCTAAATAAAACACAAAATAAGGCTGGGGATGTGGCTCAGTGGATGCATGAATTATAATCAGTTTTAGAACCCTCCTAGAATACTTTAAGAAAAGAGTTAATTCCCCCACATAGTAGGGGACTTGCAGATTGCTTTCTATTCCCACTGATGGTTACCCTACAGTTAAACACCTGGCGCAGGTTGGCCAGCAGAGGGCAGCCTATGAGCAGGAGTGCAGGCTCATTTCAGGGTGATGCTGAAGCCCGTGTTTTCCAAGTCTGAGATCCAGTCTGGTTACAAATAAACAACAACAACAAAAAACTATATCCAAAGTCCTATCAGCCTCCTGTCTTCCTTGAGTCAAGGTGTGCACAGGTGTGCTGAATGCTCATAGGACAGGTCTGACCAAGGGCACCCTGTGGATATCCTCTGCTCCTCATGTCTGCTGGGATATAGGGTCTAAGGCGAGAAGGTGGCCCCAGTCAAGTTTTCTCAGGAAACAGCCTATCCTTGGGGGCTGGGGTGTCAACACACAGGTCAGAGTTGGTCAGAGCTGGGTGCCACATCCCCTGGGGGCTTGGCAGAGAGCCTTCTCCTTCTTCCTAGACAGCCCGGACCAGGCTAGGGCAGGCAGGTCTTGGGTGCGCCGGCTGGCCATGCCTTCTCCCACACCCTACCCCACCCTGGCCCCAGCCCTGGACCCTGGCTTAGAGCTTCAGGAGGGAGGGCACTCATGGGTGTGGTTCTGTAATGGGATCGTTCACAGAATCAGGTAGGTATTGGTGGGTCCCCATGTTTGGACCCCAGAAGTACTTTCTAAGCAGAGGCCCTACCTGTGGTTGCTCTAAGACTTGAGGTTCATCTGTGTGCCTTAGGCTCCTATCTCTGCCTCATCCCTCTTGAGGGTGCCTCTCAAGCTGCCCTTTGGTGACACTAGCATATGGTGGTACCTGGGGGGTGAATCTGAAGTGGGACTGAGTGACTCCCTGGTCCCCTCAGAGACCACCTTCTAGGGCCAGCAGTGCATGCAGCACCAGGATATGCTCTATTCTTGTCACCTTTGGAGCCTAAAGCCCCAGACAGACTTTGCATTTCTCTCAGCTGAGGACAAATGAGGACAGGAGGACACAACCTTTTCTGGGAAGTGACCACTTATGTGGGGAGGAGGGTGCAGCGATGGAGGAGGAAGGTCTGGGGAGGGAGACCTCCTCTCGTCTCCCTTCCTGTGGGCAGCTCCGTCTCATCCTTCTGTGTCTTTGGAAGTTCTCCTGGGCAGGGGCCCTTCCTGCCTGTACCTCAGCCTCCCCAGTCGGGCCAGGAAGTCCTTCTAGATACCTCACCTTTTGGATTTGGAAACTTCACAGTTGTGGGTAGGGTGGGAATGACACCATAGGCTCAGGACATCTGTGTTCAGTGTGACCTGGCCCTTCTGCTCAGGGTGGGGAGACCCAGAAATGAAGGCTCAGTAGCGAGATCACAAGGCACTTGCTTTACTGTTCCAGGACAGGGGACAATGGCAGGCCACTGAGGCATCTGCTTGGGCCTCATATGAGAGTGGGGCCACCATTTGGATGTTCTTGTCACTTGGAGGCCCAGGGTAGGCTAAGGATCCCACTTGATGGGGCCTGGCAGGCACCTGGACCATATCCCCTAGCTCCAGGGATATCCTTTGTGCTTTTCGGGTGTCTGGGTCTGCCAGGCGATCAAAGCTAGGGGTGCATGGGTGCTCCCTCACCAGTCTGGACCAGGCTTCCCTTCCCTGAACACTCAGGCAGCCTGAGACAGTTGGAAGCTGGGACCTAAACTACATGAATTTCTTTCTAGAGAAAGAGGGGGATTGTGGTGACTTGGAGGGGGCCCTTCCCGCATCCGGGACTGGGAGAAGATTCATTCAAGTTTCCAAGGGCAAGGGCTTTTCCAAACACTTTGTGTTGGAATTTGGGCTCAGTTTGGTCCCGGAATGGACATTGCCCCTCCTGTGCGTCACCCTGGGGGTGGCCAGACAGAGAATGTTCTGAGGATAGGTGGAGCCTGGCAGGAAGGGTGCTGCTAGTTAGTAGCAAGCACCCTGGGTGGGGGGGTCCACAGGCAACAGGAGGAGTTCTCTATCTCCTCCTCCTTGCTGGGCTGTTGGAGGAAGACAGGAGAATAAATACAGGGGGATTCTAGGAAAGAACATGACTGGAGGGGGCCAGGCCTGTGGAGCATACGGGAATCAGAATGGGGTTCTGGGGGGATTCTTTGAGCTTTGGTAACCAAAGCCCTTAGCTCTCAGCGGCCTCAGAAATGAAGTCAGGCTCTCTGATGTGGTATGGATTCCTCTGGGTATAAGGCATGTGGCTGGTGTGTCTTGAGTAAGCCTGAGCCTATGTATGTGCCTGAGAGCTGAAGGCCCATGGGCGTGGCTAGGGAGAATGCATTTGCTTCTTGCCCACATATTGCTCTCTAGGGGCCCTGAGTGAGGCACTGGACTACCAGGTGGCAGAAATGCGTGAGGGGCAGCGTCCTAGGAGGTGTCCCCTGTGCTCCAGCTTCCAGCTAACAAACAAGTTGGCTGAGTGGCAGAGGGGACAGATAGCATTTTCCTTCCTTGACCTTCAAGGTGAGCCCAACGAGGATGACCAGCAGAGACTTCCAGACAAGCAAAGGCTGGAGCTGACGCCAGACAGAGCTCATGCCAGGGCCATGGGCTTGGAGCTGGGGCTGAGGTACACTGAGGGGCCAGCAGGGGCTGTGGACGGCGTGGGCTCCAGCTCCATGAACGCTGAGTAGAGGGTGGTGAGGGGCAGGTCTCCCAGGGCTCCGGAGCCGCCGCTGCCTGGTGGTGCCAATTCGCCTGCCCCACTGCCTGTCTCTGCCAGACAGGGCCCCGAGGGGAAGCAGTGGGGTGGTGGTGGGGGCGGTGGCATGGAGGATGATGTCGGGGACGAGGTCACCAGTACCAAAGGGTCAAGGGCCAAGCTGTCATCCTTTAGCTGTTCCCACAGGTTTCCTAGTTAGGGGATCAGGAGGAGGAGAAGATCAGCATCACTGGGAGGCATGAGGGGAGCCCTATCTGCCACCCACCTGAGGCTTTCATATGCTACAGAGAGCAGGATTGGAGTGACACTGACTGGGAGCCGACCCTGACATCAGCTCTGTGATCCCAGTCAGTGTCAGACCCTCTCTGAGCCTCAGATTCCAACTCCCATGTAGCAGCCTGAAAGTCATAGATTTAGGGCTGGGGCTGGGGCTGAGTGGTAGAGCACTTGCCTAGCACACATGAGGCACTAGGTTCGATCTTCAGCACCGCATAAAAACAAATAAAATAAAGATATTGTGACCACCTAGTTGTTGTAGGGAGAGATTTTGGGGAGGATCAAGAATTTGAAAACTGCCTACTGAAGGTTGGTGCAGGTGCTGGGCACTTGGGGGCAACTTGGGGGCTCCTTCACTCAATTTTCTGCCTAAGCTCCCCAAGGAAGGTGGATCTGTAGTCCAGACCAAATGTCTTCCCACAATGTGCCACTGAACCCAATGAAGTGGATGGCTTCCTCGGCCTCCTCCATTGCAGAGCCCAGGGAATGGGGACAGAGCTAGGAAGCACACTTGACTCCGAGGAACAAACAGGGTTACCACCTGACTGAACTCTCTTTGGGTCGTATGACCTGCAGGATGGCAATCAGAGACTGGGTGCCTGCCCTGGGCATCAGGGTTGCAGAGTCTGGAGAAAGAGGTTCTGACAGCCCTGGGTTGGCCTTGGCCGCCTGAATTCTGATCCTGATTCCTTCCTTCCAGCTAATCGATCTTGCACGGGTAATATAACCTCTGTGTGCTTCTGCGAAATGGGTTTCATATTCCCTCCTGTTCCACAGGTCCAAGAGGGGGCAGAGGTAAAGTTAGCAGGATGCCTGATCTTTAGCAGGGGCACGAGTGGATGCTTATTGTCTCCCACATGTCCACACTTCCCCAGAGGTTGCCTGAGCCCTGCTCCCCATCTCTGGACTGGCCTGAAGATTTATGTGAAGCTATTTATGTGAAGCTATTTCCCAGGACCTTAGACCATCAGACTGGGGGCTCTCTAGGGGGAGGCTGCCTCCCTGACACCTGCTGGTGAATGTTTCCACCTCCATGCCTGGAGGGTCTGAGGCCTGGGTCAGCAATCCACCACTTGTGGATAGTCACAGGGCCTGGGGGTGCACAGGATGGGAATGGGCGGGGTGCGGTGGCCTTATGCAAAGATGGAGCAGGCAAGATGGAGTGCAGTGAATAGACCCTCTCCCTGGACTTCTAGCCCTTAATCTTTCCAGGATCTGCCTGGCTCTGAGGTCTCACACTCCTGCAGGGAGAGGGTCTCTCTTTCGGCATTGAATGCTCAACTCTGACAAAATGCGAATGCATCTGGGAATGCTCACTCACAATCGAGTGTGGGGTAGAACGCGGAGCTCTTTCCAATCTTGCCAGAGCTGAGTGTGGCTTGATGACAGGGTCAACTGGAACACTTTCAGGGTACCAGGAGGAGGGAAACTGGGGCAAGAGAGTTCCTCTGGACCCTGTGCTCTGGATGGCAGGGAGGGAGTGGGAGGCTCGACACCTGCTCCTGGCTTTCTGACTCAGGTGACTCAGGTGGCAGGCAGCATGGAGACTTGGAGAGGATGGGTCACACTGCTAGATGCACCTCTCTAGTCCTGTCCCACCTCCCCTTTCCTACCCCCAGCTCACCCTGGAAGTCAAAGTCGGTGAGAGAGGGGTTGATGGCATCCAGGTCAGTACCCAGGTCTCCGTCTGGCAGTAGGGTGTCATGCACGGTCCTGGCTGGGGAAGGCTCAGCCAGCAGCTTGGCACTGTGGCTGGGTGGGGTGTGGGCAGGCAGAGGCGAGTCCTGGGGGGTACCCGGCTGGGCCCGCAACTCAAGGTGCCCATCTGGCTGCGGGAACAATGGCTGCGGGGGTCCAGGAGGGGCCAGGCCGGGTGAGAGGTGTGGGTACGTCTGCCCATAGCAGGAGGGTGCGTGCCCCCCCAGTAGGTCTTGCAGAGGGTTCTTGCCAGGCATGGGTCCTGGAGCTGGGTGGATTGGGTGCAGCTGCTGGGAGAGCCCAGTTGGGGGTGCCAAGGGCCGGATGGGGCCGGAGCCTGTCAGCCCAGGGGGCGGACAGCCCAGCATCGGGGAGCCCAACTTCTCCCTCTTGTCTCCAATGAGGCTGTCCAGCTCTTCTGAAAAGGCCCCAAAGAGAAAGAACACCATGAAATCTTTCTCCTCCACACCTCCCCAGCCTCAGAACCCTCAGACTCTGCCCCATTTTTTTTTTTTTTTTGTGGCTCACAGGTCCTCAGGCCCTTCCTTGGGTGGCGGGGCTGCCCTCACCTGGCTTGGCCATGCTTTTGCGCACAGCAATGGGGTCCTTCCTCTTCCACTTCTGCAGCTCCTCCTGCATCTTGTCGATCTTGGCCGGATTGAGGGCCCACAGGCAGCCCTTGCGAGAGGAACTTCCAGATTTGTTCTCCACCTTCTCAAAGCACTTGTTGAGGGATAGGTTGTGGCGGACAGAATTCTTCCAGCCATCAGGTGCCGTCTGCCCCAGCAGAGCAAAGCAAGAATTTAAGTTGGGCTCAGGTAGCAAGAACGAGCTCCAAGGCTGGGCTCTAGAACATTCCTTTGGATGCAGAACTGTCACCCACTCTGGGCTATATCATCCTCCTCGGTACCTAGTACGTGCTCGGTACCCTTCAGTGGTGGGGAAGGGGTGGGCAGGAACCTTGACCACAATTCATTTTCAACTAAAATCCACCTTCGTCCCATCCTATCCCTGGACCCCAATGTTTCAGAGAATTTGAGGCCTGGTGGGCGCCACAGAGACCTCCTGACCCATGCCCCCACTGAAGTGGGACCAGCCTCCATGGAGCCTTCAGGCCCGTGTGTACTCCCTCTGTTCAACGGGAGCTCACAACTCCAAGGTCCTCTGTCCAGCTGTAAGGAAGGAGCGATGGAGGCTGCGGAAGCCTCTCTTCCTGGTCTGCCTCATCTCTTCTGAGGCAAACTCAGGAGAAAAGAAAAATGGGTGGGGCCGGTGAGTGTCTGGGTGTGTGTCCACGTTGCACATATGTTTGAGCACATTGCTGGGTGTTGGTGCATGGGGGTGGTGCATGCTCAGGTGCATGCGCCTATATCCCTAAGTGTGTCTCCCAGGGTGAGTGGCATCTCCTGATACGGGTCTGGAATTCCTGCATGCGAGGTTGTACAAGTCCCAGAGAATGGCTGTGTGTGAGAAAGTCTCTCTGAGTATGTGTGTGTGTGTGTGTGTGTGTGTGTATCCATGATCATCTGAGTGTGTGGGTGTGTGTTTGCATGAGTGTGCCTGGGGGGGCGTGCCCCGGTGGGGAGGCCAGCCCTCAGGCAGGGGGTGCTCGTGCCAACAGAATAAACACCCATTAGGAGGCCCGGTCATGCCACTAGTGCAGTAATTGTGCCCAAGGAGGGTTGTAAAAACCATTAGGCTGACTCAGTTGGGTGAGAGGCGGTGGCAGGGGTGCCAGTGGGCCTCCCATCCCCCATCTCCTGCTCTGTTCCAGACTCTGAGACAGCTCTGAGCCCAGACGGTGCTAACTGCGGACAGAGCCACTGCTCTGACCAGCAGGGCTCCTTCACCCTCATCCCCTGTCCCTTCTTTCATTCAGCCCATAGTTTCTGGTTAACATGGGGTGGCCACTCCCTCCTCCCCAACTCATTTGCCCCAGGGAGCAGCCAAGCTGAATCACGCCCAGCAGAACTGGGCCCTAATGCCAGCATCGCTGCAAGTTGCTGGTGGCAACTGCTGGAGCCTTTCTTGGGGACAGATGGCCTGGGGCAGGGGGCTGGTTGAAATGACCCCCCCAAATCTCCCAGGGTTATCAGAGAAGATTCTTAAGCCACCAGACCAGACTTTGATTCCCACAACAGTCTCCCCTGGGAGTCAAGGCTATGCCGCCCCATGGGCAGAGTTAATGGGCACTGGGGCCTTTTATGGCCCCATAAATCTGTGACTTTGGGATGCCAGGGCAGCCCCCACCCCAGTCACTTCCTGTTTGGAAGAGGAATGGTCAGCAGTAACAATTATGTCCAGTGGCTGGACACTTCCCCAGTCCCACATCCCTGACTCACGGGGCTACGGGACGCCCACATCAGCTGCCTTGGGCATGAGTGCCACCCCATCCCACAGTCCACACTGTCCTTGTCCAGAAAAATGACCTTCGAATGGGGAGTGAACAATATGGAAGGTAGGAGAATCTTCCAACTGATTCCTTAGATGAGTCAGAGGGGAATCGTCCAAGTTGGAAGGAGCCTTTGTGCCAACCTGGTCCAACCCGACCATTTTACAGATTGGGAAACTGAAGTCCAGAGAAGAAAGGATATAGTGCTGGATCGCATAGGGAGGCAGGGACAGAGCCCGGACTCCAACTCTGTCCCCTAACTAAGGGCCCTGCCCAGGTCATCCTTTAGGGCCTGCCCTGCCATTTGGGGCCCTTCCCATTCTCACAGATGCTCACTCTCTGAAGTCAAATGTAAACTCAGGGGTGAGGGAGTGACGCAACTGGTTAAGAACAACAACTGGAATATTAAAAAAAAAAAAAAAAGCTGTTAGACTTCTTCACTCTTCGGCCCCATAAAACAGGGATTACACAGCTCCCAGGAAAAATAATTAAGCCAGGAAGATGAGATGCAGGGAGGGGCTGGGGGCCAGGCCAGGAGCTGGGAGAGAGGGAGGCTCGGAGGAGGAGGCAGGGACCTCATTTCCCTTTCTCTGGCTTGGCCTCTGGAAGCCCTGGACGACCCTCTAATAGCTTAGGGGGTTAGGGAGGGTGCAGTTCCCTGACCTGCTAGGGTGCGAGGGCAGCCCTGGACACAGGCTTTGATGCTTCTTGAATCCCAGAGACAATGCTCTTCCCCCTCCTCTTCTTTTCAGAATCTCTGGTGGATCAAAATACTTTTCCCTAGCCAGACCACTCTGACCCTCTTGCCCACTCCCTATCTGATGGCAGCTCAGCAAGCAAAAACTTGTTCGAACATTAGGTGCCAATTATCCTCAGGCAGGACAGTTGGGTAGATGGTGGGGGCAGGACTCATCCACTGGCAGGTGGAGCTCAGTTCTGGATTACCTGGGCCTCTGTTCCTACCCTCTGCCTGGGTAGCAGATGAGATCATATCCATCATGGTGCAGATCTTGGAGAAGGCACTTCTCAGACATAAGCTCTGGTCTTTCCCACACCCACCCCAGAAGAAGGGGACTGTGCAGAAGGGTCTGGGGGAAGGGGGAGATGTGTGAAGCCCAACAGCTTGGCCCAGCAACTGATGCCACCTGCTGTGTAACCTTGGGTAGATGAACTGCTCTCTCTGATGATATGTTTGCCCATCTGGGGAGTTGGATATCTGTCTTGCCTCTAGGGAGGGAGTTGGGTAGAAGCCCTAGAAGTCCCTTCTGTGGATGATAAGAACTAGATTCTGCACCAGGGGTGGGGGCAGAGTCAGGTGAGCCAGCCGGTTCCCTGGGACACCTGAAGACTGTGAAGCCCACACCCCACTTTCTGGTAGAACTGTAGCTGAGCCTGCCGCCCACAGAGGCAGATTTTAATCTCACCCTGGAAGGCAGTGGATTCTTCAGCACCTTTTGTCGCCTTGGCTGACCGGCTCCTGTGGGAATTCCTCAGCCCCATAGCATCCTGGGGGTAAGGATGGGGACAGCCTCTCATTTCTTCCCCCAACTTTCTCTCCTCACTTGGGGTGGGCGGATGCTCCCTGAAGCCTATCAGGACTGACATCACCACTTCCCTGCAGCAGAAGATCTAGCTCCAGATCTGCTGTGTAATACCAAGGGAGTAGCTTGAGCTCTCTGTTCTCTACATAGAACCCCTAAGGGAGCTCTGTCCTTTTGAGGTGGAGACAAGGGAAAGCAGATGGTGGTGGTGGTGGGGACAAACCCTCACTGGCTTTTCGAACTCCTCTCATCTCTGCACCGAACCCTCCAGCTCTAGACCGGCCTGACTTGTCCAGGACTTGGGGTGGCGGGTGCAGATGGATCTGGGACTCACCTTGAAGTAAGGGAAATGCTCCGTCATAAAATTGTAGATCTCGCTGACAGGCAGGCTTCCAGTTTTGCTGTTCTTGAGGGCCATGAAGATGAGGATGCTGAAGACACAGAGAGCCGTGAGAGTCTGAGCCTCTTGACCTGGTCCTGAGGCCCTCCCCAGAAGCCCCCCCCCACCTCTGGTGAGAGTCTCTGTGAGGTTCAAGTTGAAGGAAAGGGGATGAGGATTACAGATAAACAAGGACCCTGTGGAGTCTGAGAAGCAAGGCTTCCATCTGACTTAGCCAGGGACCAGTGGCGTGACCTTGGGCGAGGGCCTTAACCTCTCTGAACGTCAGTTTCCTCATCTTTAGAATAAAAAGAGTTAACAACTACTCAGTTGTGGGGAGGAATGACACCTCAACATAGAAGCCCTCCTTACACAGGAGCTGTCACTACCAGTCCTCACTAGTCGGCCCTTGGCCACTTGCATGAGTGCCGGGTAGTGGGGAGTCAATGGAGGTCTGACGAGCTCCTACGTTCTCTTACTTAATCCTTCCAACAGCCCGAGTTGCTGTCTCTTGACTTTTTTTTTTTTTCCTCTCTCCCTGATGAATAAATAGAAGCTCAGAGAGATCAAACAACTTGCCTAAGTTTCACTTCTAGTAAATTCCAGATTCTGGTCTTGTCCCCAGTTTTGCTGGGCTATAAGGTCTGGCTCTATATGCTCCTTTCTGTGCACCATCTGGCCTTCCACAAATCCCCTCTCTGTGCTCCTGGCTAGTGTCTGAGTTCTTTTTTCTGAGCGTCCATCAGCTCAGAAGAGGACCTGATCTCTCCCTGAGGCCTGGCATACATTAGGTCAAGTGTCACTGATGATTGGATGATTGAAAGGACAGATGGAAGGGTCCCCCAGATAGGCTGGATGCTGCTGGCACTTAATCTCCCAGCCCCTGAGAAGTCCCACCAGAGGGTGAGTAACTGAGTCACATCTGAAGCCCTTATCTCTCATTTATTTCCAGTAGAGCTTTGGAGTGGGGTTCTTCTCTATATCTGGGGAGATGGGCAAGGTGGTGGGTATCTTCCCTAAACTCCAATCCCTGGCCCTGGGCCCCAGGAGGTTAGAGTTCAGCAGATTCACACAAAACACGGAATCCGCGGAACCAGATCCTCAGGTGTAGACAAGAGGTCAGAGGTGATCAAGTCTATTCACTGCTCCCTTGCAGGGGTCCTCTCTCCAGCCTCCTTTTGAAGCTCACTGGCCCGTACCGTGTCACTACCCTTATGCACTGAGGATTCCATGCCTCAGTTTCCCCAATGGCCCACTCAGCCCTCCTCCTTCTGCCCAAGGGGAGCTTGGAGATGTACCTGTAGGAGTAGATGGGTTTGGGGAAGAGCGGCTGGTGCCCATCAGCGCTGGCCTGGGGTGCGATCCGCTGGTATGGATAGTGAGAGGAGCCCAGGTAGGGTACAGGGTAGCTGCCACCACCCTGTGAATACTGGAGAGGTTGAAGGGGGAAGAGTGATTGCCATGGTACCCAGCCTTTCTGAGGAGGACTCCCCTCCCCTCTTCATATGCATCCAGAGAAGATGAGGTCAGATTCTCCTCTCCCTGGTCGTGAACTCCATCACCCCCATGGTAGAGCTGAGGCGTAGACAATAGTGTGGACATGTGAGGGTCTGAGAAGACATCCACATTTTGGAACTCAGAGGCCTCAAAGTTCCCTTTCTCCAGCCCTTTAAGGTGCTGTGATTGCCACAGGGATGAGATGAAGCCCAGCTGGGCTGCAGAGAGTGAGGCGCAGCCTGTGGCCTCTACACCCTCCCAGACAGACACTCCAGGCCTCCCTGTGCTCCTGGAGTACTGGGCCGGAAGTGGGATGTCCAGGCTGGGCGGTTGCTGGGCATTGCCACCTTTTACGAGTTTCAGTGGCTCTTTGAAAGAGCTGGTCATGGTGGTGGGCAGGTGGGGGTGGGAGGTGATTTTACGGCAAAGGGAGTGACCGCGGTGCCAGGGATGGTGTTTTATGGGGGCAGGGGAGTAGGAGACTCTGACTCCCCTAGCTGCTCCAGGCTGAAGTGCTCTTTCCAGGTCACTGAGAGACACTTAGTGCCTGAGTCACCCTCTCTTGGGCTCCATAAAGCCCTGGGTGCGGCCATCTTGTTTGAGGAGGGGTGCTGACAGCAGAGGGCATCAAAGCAAGGCCAGGCATGGTGAAGCCACTGAAGGCCTGGTTGTCCCTTCATCCTGCAGTAGCTCAGTCCCTGACAGGACAAGCTGCCTCAGGTACATCTCCTACACTGGGTGAGACCAGGAGCCTCTGCCTAGCTATGGCCACTGCAGCCAGGCCCATCAAGAAGGGAGGATGTGCCTTGTGCTGGGCATTCCCTCGCTTTCCTCTGTCTCTCTCGCCCACAGGGGAGGCCGTCTGATCCCCCTCCTCCCTCTTGCTTGGCCAAGATCCGGGCCAATGCCAAAGAACTGGGAGTAGAACCTGCTCCACAGGCAGGGCCTGTCTCAGTGCCAGGCTGCAGGTGGATGGAGCTGGGCGCTGGGCAGCCACTTGCTGTGTCTTGCCCGGTGACTCCAGGGAGCTGCCTGGCTGCTCTTGGGGCTCTTTTTCTTTCTCTTTTAAAAAACCTCCATCCTTTGCCCGTGTGGGGCAATTACTTGGCATCCTTCACATTTGGGAGGGGCCAAAGTTGGGCAGCGGGGTGGGGAAAGGACCAACGTGATGAGGATTTGGAGCCCTCTGGGTTGGGAGGCCTGTAGTCCCACACCTGGTGCCTATCCTCTTGAGTTCAAGGCCATACAGCACGATGTGACCTAGAGATGGGACCCCTGTTCGTGGAGCTTAGCCTGGTGTCACATGACACAATTTTCTCTCTGCCCTGTTTTCTTCCTCGGGGCTGGCTCTTCTTCTCCCTCCTTTTTTTTGGGGCCCTGCCCATCAAGGCCCTGCCTCAGTCTCAGCCCTACTCTCTTGTTTGAGCCCCTCAGGCCCTGCCAAGGGTCCAGACAAACACTTCCTGTCCCTAGAGAACGACAGTTGCTTCTGTCTCCCTATTAATTACTTTCCCCCTACCAGGGGTGGTCTAGCCTGAAAAGTTCAGGGCCCTGCTGCCTACACCTGCCCATCCAGGTGTGCACATGAGCACACACCTATACACCGCACCACACACAACACACACCACATAATATCTTGAGAGCCCGGGAAGCATGCCACTTGCCTCAGACCCACCTGGTGGAAAGGGGGCTGGGAGGGGCAGTACATGTGCTGCAAGGGGGGTTGGTAGCAGTACATCCCAGGACCATTCTCCAGAGCTGGAGGCTTGATCTTGACCTCTGACGCCTGCTGGAAGAGAAAGCAGATGACTAGGCTGGGCCTTATTTCTCTCCCTTCCTCTTTCCCTTATCCTGAAATTCCCACAAAAGCAACCCCAGCTCTGCCTTTCCCAAAGCTTAGTCCTTGAGAAGGAACAGAGAACAGAGAAGGGAAGGGTTTTTCACAAGGAAACTCAGCAAGGTGATTGTGGAACTGGTGCCGGCATCCACAGCACCCCTATGTCCACACACCTCACTGCAGGTGAGAGGCTGAGTTTAGGCCACTCAGAGAAGTGGGTGAGACTTGTCAGTGGTCACTTTGAGCCTACCTAGGGTAGGGCCAGAGATCTCTGTGAGGAGCATGTGGAGTCCTCAGGGCCTAGCACAGAGCTCTAACCTGAGTAGGGACAGCAGGGGTGTGCAGCCAGGTCCTGGCAGGTGGACTTGCCTGGGAGAAGGTGGACCATTCTACCTGGGGTTAGAAGGTACCTTGGGAAACCAGCGCCTAGGCCCAAAGGGGCAAATCAGCTGTGCCCTCTTTCTGGGTGTGCCCTGGGGATACTGATGCAGAGATTGGCACAATCGCAGAATCTCAGGCCTGGAAGGGCCAGGAGTGCTTGTGTCCAACCCCTTCATTTGATAGATGATGGGGCTGAGCCCAAAGAGGGGAAGCAATGTGCCCCAGGTCACCCAGCGAGGCAACCTGCTAGCTGTGGGTGTCTGGGCTCAAGTTTTTCTCTGTTGTGCATGGTTAAGGGTGTGGACTTAAATCTCAGCTTTACCATTTTCAGGCTGGGGGATGCCTTGGGCAAGTTACATGGCCTCTACAGCCTCAGTTTGTTCATCTGCAAAATAGGGACCATGGGAACTCTCTAAAGGATTGTTGTGAGAATTAAATGGGCTTCAAGAGAAAGCTGTGGCAGAATGAGTAGGAGCTGGTACTGAGCAGACACTTGGGGATAGTAGTTGATAGGATGTGGTTGCTGCCATATTCAAGGGGCCTGAGAAGAAGCTGTCGAAGGTTTACAGAACTGAGAATAGGCTCCTATCTAGACCACACTTGATATGTGTCCCTCCTCTTTTTCTACCTTCCTCCCTGTGTTGGGACTGGCTTGGGGCAGGACCCAGTTTTATTTATTTATTTTTCTTTTGGTACTGCAGATTGAACTCAGGGGCACTTAACCACTGAGCTACATTACCAGCCCTTCCTATTTTTTTTTTTTTTTTGAGACAGGGTCTCACTAGGTTGCTTAACATCCTTGCTGAATTGCTAAGCTTGGCTTTGAACTTGCGATCCTCCTGCCTCCGCCTCCTGAGCTGCTGGGGATTACAGGCGTAGGCCAACATGCCCTGCTCGAGGTCTATTTGAAAGTTAGAGGTGAGGAGGGCTGGTGTGGAGTAGGGACAGCCTAGGCTAAGCCCACTCAGTCACTGCCTCAGGGACCTACAAGCCAGCTCTGGGAGCAGGAAGCAAGCTTCCTTAATTCTGCAAAGCAACAATCCCATGAGGCAGATAGATACTCTTAACCTTACTTTTCTAGTGAAGCTCATAGGGGTTAAGTGACTTGCCCAAGGTCACACAGCTTGAGCATGTGGCTGTGGAAGGACATGCTGGGCTCCCAAGGTGTTTTTAAGGTATTTCTATGAATATACCCAGGCCTCACTTTAGGCAAAGAATGGGGCTGGGAAGGGTCCCTTGAGATGACTTAAACCTTACAACTCCTTGTCTCCGGTCTGTAGGGTGATGCTGAAAAGGGGGCAATTGTGCTCTGAGGCTCCTCCCTAAACCCTTTCTCCTGGCCTCTGGAATGTGTTTTTCTTCTCACATTTGCATATGGGTGTGTTGGTCTGGCTGGGGATTCTTGACACTTGAACAAACAGAAAGAAGTCACACTCCGGAATCCTGACTCAGGAGCTTCTGGGAAGCTGCCAGTTTACTTAGCTTAACCTGCCTCCCCCATCTGTCCCCTCCATGCCCATCCAAGCCAGCATCCCCCCCCCCAGGAGACCCAGATGGAGCCAAGAAGCCCCAACGTTTCTGAGTTTGCTGCTTCCCTGATCTTGAGAGGCAAGGTCTGTAAAGGGATGGTGGGGGACTCTGATCTCAGAGGACTCTTTCTAGCCATCAGGAACAGGACAGAGGGAGGTGGGATGCCCGCTGGCCATTGGTACTCACCAGGACTTGGCCATGCTCCTGGCTGGGGTAAGGGAGCCCATTGCACCAGGCCTCTGCAGTGAAACCAGGCAGGAAGGCCTCGGCCTCCCCCACGTCCACGGGGATCTCCTCAAAGGCCTCCAGTGCCCCTGGGGTCTTAAAGGAGTGTCCATCCAGGGCCAGGGCGGTCTGGGCTTCAGGGAAGATGTCCTCATGGAAATGCCGCTTGTATGGGTGGAAGGGCACGTGGTTGCCCTTGAGGTAGTGCCCAGGGCTGCTTGCTGGGCCCTCCTCAAAGCCAAAGCCAGGATACTTATCTGAGGGTGAAAGCCGGAAGGGCCCTGGGCCAGGGCCGGCTGGGCAGTGGCCCTGGACTTGCTCTGGGCCTGGTGATGCAATGCTCGGGCTGTGTGGGGGCAGTGAGGGTGCCCTCTCTGGAGGACCGTCGGGCACAAATGACGAGCAGTTGAAGCCGGCGTGCTTCTGGGTAGCAGAGGACAGAGAGGCTATGAGTGGGGGCTGGACCAGGCCTGGGGACCTCCTAGGAGCCTACTCTGTGATGGAATGTGGCTGAGTTCTGGGATCCACAAATGATGGACAAGACAAAACCTGTCCTTGGAGCCCCAATCTGATAAGGACATACTGCTCTGATACTTGAGGTGCCCAAGGCTGATGGGACTCCATGGCCCCTCCCTGGGAAAGCCTCAGACTGAAGGGGTAAACGGAGACCCATATCAGATCCCTTCTGGATCTCAGAGTCACAAAGTACTCATTTGCTGGTAACAGGGACCCCTGCAGGTGGGGGGACTTGTCCACTTGCTGCCTTGTCCAAAACTAGGAGCCAGGTACTTACACTCTGTGGAGCAGGGGAGCCTGGGAGGCCCGGAGCCTGCATGAGGTCCCCTTGGGGCTCGCCCTCCAGTCTGGTGGGGCCAGGCAGCGTGACGTCAGACTGTGGCGGGAGTAGCGACACCATCACCCAGTCCTGGCCTCGAAGAAAGCCGGCTGTGATGAGAATGAGGACCAACAACCAGGAGTGACCAACTCAAGTCCACCACCTCCATTCCTACTGCATCCCTGAGCTGGGACCCTGCCTCCAGCCTGCCGTTTGATGTGTTGTGTGTGTGTGTGTGTGTGTGTGTGTGTCAGTGGCCAGTATGAGAGAGAGAGAGAGAGAGAGAGAGAGAGAGAGAGAGAGAACACTGGTAGAGACAGACAGCAAATGAGCCAGGAGGAGGGGTTCTTGACTGTTCTTAGCTCTGCAGCTGTGGAGTACTGACAGGGATACCCTGTCTCTGGCTCCTCAGGCTTGGTCTCCTGTGTCTACAAGGAAGGGTCAGGCTATGTGGCTCTGTTGTGTGACTGGGAAGGCCCCAAAAGAAGAGGGAGGAGTGGATCAGATACAGGACAGAGGTGGTGGGAGCAGCCCCAGTAATGCAGAGGCTGGGCCTCATTGGCCCCTAGGGCCCTTAGCCTAGCTGGAACAACCACAGTGTGCATCTGGGGACTCAGGGGTCCTGGGTGCCTGATGCCTTGACAACCCATTATGCCAGCAAGTGCTGTTTTCACCTATGCCCTTTAAAACTCCCTTGCCTGTGACTTTGTCCAGGCCACTGCCCCTTCCTTTTATTCTTTTGGCACTGGGGATGGAAACCAGGGCTTCATGAAATGCTAAGCACGTGCTTTAACCACTGAGTGACGCGAGCTCAGGCCACTGACCCTTTCTGAACTTTTCGGTTTCCGCATGGAAAATGAGGCGCTTGGACTAGATATTCAAGGGTTCAGAGCTTCTGGAATTGTAGGAGAACCCTGACCCCTGCACAGTGGAATGGTTAAGAGGACTCAGGGCTCGGGGCCAGGCTTGGCCCTTTCTTCCTAGCTGAGTCAGCAAAGCTGACTTCAGCGGTGACATCTGCAAAACAGGGCCAGTGACAGGACCTACCTCACAGGGCTGTTCTGAGTATTAAATGAAATCAGGCCTGCTACAGAACGCAGTGCCCAGAGCAGGGGAAGCGCTTGATACACTTCGGTTCTCATGATTGATATTATCGGTATGGCTCCAATTATCATTATCCTCCTGTTCTCACCTTCTGTCACCTCCTGCAAAGGGCAGTTCATCTTGAATTCACTCCCTAGGGCTGCAGCGGGCTCTGATCAAAGCTACTGGTGGCGGAGGGTCTGCTCTAGGGTGGCCACTGTGCCGATGCTTTGGACAAATTTTTCATTGGTTTATCAGAACAAGCTCGTGAAGGAGGTACATGATTAACTCCATCTTTCAGATGAGGAAACTGAGGATCAAGAGGGGTTAAGTGACTTGCCCAAGTCACACAGCCAATCTTTGACAGAGTCAGAACACAAATGTCAATTTGGCTGATTCTGGAGGTGACATTTCTCTTATGGCTTATTTGGTGGGGGTCAGAATCTGGTGGGATATGCTTCGGGGGCCAGGCAGCAAGAAAAGTGTGAGGTTTACACTTATCCCTTCTACCTAAGACCCCCTCAAGCAAGAGCAGATAGCTGTGCTGTTCCAAGGCACCCTTGGCTGGGAGCTCCGAAAGGGAGGGAGGGCCTTACTGGCCTCTTGGTGTCCAGCTAGGGGTTGACATATCTTTGCTGAATTAACCACCTTCTGCATTTGACGGAGAGGGTAATGGGGACAAGGAAAAGAGGGGACTTGCTCAAAGTGCCACAGGGATGAGCCTGAGAGGGGGCTGGTAGCTGAGGCCCAGGTGGGAGGCTCTCCCGCCCCTTCAAGAGTCCCCACCGCCCCTTCTCATGTCGCAGAGCCTGCTCACTCTGCAATGCTAAATGTGGCGTGACCAGGGAAGCGAGGAGCTGGCCGTAACTGGACACCAAGAGGGAGCAGGCATGGGGCCCAAGGTGCTAGCCAGCCCATCTCTGGCTCCGCATGACCGCCCTGGCCTGGCCCTTGATCCCTGGACGGCTCCTCCTGGACAGCGGGGCCTGCGCTGCCTTTCCAGGAGGCGGTGCCACAGACTTGGCACCTTCCCAAGGCATCCCCAGCCCTTCCAGATGCGAGGCTGTGGGCCCTGTCCCTCAGATCACTGGCATTGTAACCTTGGGGGCACTCCCCTCTCTGGAGTGGGGTAGCATGGTGAAGAACAAGGGTTGGGACTTGGGACGACCTGACTTTGAGATCTAGCCTTGTCACTTCCTGGTTGTGTGACTTTGAACACACTGTGTAACTCTGTATTTCCCTTTCCTTATCTGGTACATGGGGCATGTGGACCCACCCCACAGGATTCATGAGGATAAAATGAGGCGATGTGTTTAAGGTCCTGGAATATAAAACATGCTCAGAGACACGTCAGTTTGCAGAACATGGCTGGGACCAAGGGCCTCGGACTTTTAGTCTTTACAGTTTCTCTGATGGTCTTGCTGCTTCAGGCCTGGTGTCCCTAGGTAGACTGACTAATGACCTATGTGGCAGCCACCCTTGCTATCCCTCCTTGCCTGGCCTTCACTCAGCTTGGCCTCAGGAGGCTTAGACCCCCAGCCCTGCTCTCTGCAGCTACAAAGCTGAGGAGTGGTCCCTGCCAGCTCTGGCTGGCACCTCCTCCCCAGAGTCTGCTCTGCCCAGAAGCACCCTTGCAGCATCTGCCTCACCCCATCCTTGCCCACCCCCTATTCCTCAGGCTGAGTTATCTGTAAGCCCTGGCTGAGTTCCTGCACGTCAGAGGCCTTAACAGAAGGTTACTATTCCCAGCCATGACTTTCATACCCTGACTTGGCAAAACCAGCTCCCCACCTCTTCCAAGTCCCTAGGGACAGGATTAGAACCTGAGAAGTTATGCAGAACTCAGAGGCCCGCCCCTTAATTTGCATTGAGGATGCAGAAGTCCCTGAATGGCCCTCAGCCCAGGGTTTCCTCTGGGCAGGTTCTGTAAATGATGACACCTGATTACCATAGTGACTGTTTGATCCCCTGAGCTGAAGCTTTGCCCTACAAGTGAGTCCCAGAGAAAAGGCTTAGTGACTTTCTAAGAAAGACCAGGGAAGAGGGAGTCCTCGACCAACTGTATTCAAAAGTGCTTTTCTGGGGCTGGGGTTGTGGCTCAATGATAGAACACTTGCCTAGCACATGTGAGGCACTGGGTTCGAGCCTCAGCACCACATAAAAATAAATTTTAAAAAACAGAATTGGGTCCATCCATAACTAAAAAAGAATTTTAAAGAAAAGTGCTTTCCCATCTCTGTGATTGGGCCAAGGGCCTCTGGTTGGTATATATGGGAGAGGCTCACTGTGAGGATGGGGAGAGGCTGCCTACTGCAACCCTGCTCTGGAGCAGCCATCAGAACTCTTGAAGCTAGGTCTGGGGTTGTGGCTCAGCGGTAGAACACTCGCCTAGCACGTTCGGGGCTCTGGGTTCGATCCTCAGTACCACATAAAAATAAATAAATAAAACAAAAGTATTGTGTCCAACTACATCTAAACCAAAATATTTTTAAAAAAGAATTCTTGAAGCTCTATGATCTGGAGTCAGAACTGAGTCTGAATCCTGATCACTGTGGGAATTTAGGTGGACAAGTGGCTTAGCTTCCTCTCCTGGGCCTCAGTTTCCTCATCTGTAAAATAGGGCTAATAATACATACCTCTCTGGAGGATTAGATGAAATATTGCTTGTAAATAGCTTAACGCATAGTACGTGCTCAATAAATGATAGCTATTATTAATAATTAGCAGTGGGACAGAGTTAATAGAAGGCATGAGCTCTAGGGATGGGGAGGGGTACCTCCCACTGCCGTCTCCCTGGAAGCAGCCTCCCTGGCTGGCAGAGGCTGAACTTCCCTCCACTTGACTCTGGCCTCAAAGGTCATTTCAGTTGTTTCCCTGCAGTAGAGTCTGCACCTATAGAATTTTCCAGGGATTGGGGTGGCAATGAGGAGTGACCCTGTTGCTTTGTATTCTTCAGGATGCCTCTCTGATGGCCTCAGTGTCCTGGGGTTGGCATCTGCATTCAGAAGAAATTTATCATTGCCTTCTAACCTTTATCCTGTTTCAGTTTCAGGGAGATGAGAGGATATGGGTACGAATGTCAGCAAACCGACACTCTCCTCCCCTCTCAGATCACCAGAGCTAGCCTGAAGCACTCTCATGGCCCATCGCTCGATCCAGGCTTCTGCAAGCTACCATCTGACCACTTCCAGGACTGGAAGCCAGGTTGCTCAGTGGTTGGCTGCACCCTGAGTTCCCCCCAAACTGTAAGGACCTTAATCATCTCAGCTCACTTTGCATTTCTGAATCTTCACTCATTTCATCCTCCCTCTGGCCCTAAGGGCTGGGAGCAGTAATACACTGGGGACGGCCGCCATGGGCCTCTGAGCATCAATTGCTCCCACCTCTTCCCAGCCCCACATCCAGTAAAATCAGGCCAAATTGGCTATGGCCAAAGTCTCTGCCCATAAAAATGAGCAAATACTATGAACCAGAGAGCTTGTTTTTGAGAGCTGATTGGTGAACATTCATCACCACACCATCGGTAGAGGGGCAAAGTCATTAACCCCATTTTTTAGGGGAGAAAATGAAGGTCCAGAGAGAGGGAATGACACGCCCAGGGCCACACAGCTAAAACGGAAAGTCACACACGTCCTGACTCTCTCATCTCTCAAGAGATCAGCCACAGCCCTAGGTGCACCTGCTCCAGAAACACAACCTCAGCAACACTGGCTGAAGGCCCTCAGCATCTGGTCCTGTCTACTCCCTGATCTCTGAACTTCTCCTTCTGCCATCCCTGGGGAGGGAAGGGAAGGTGGGGTTGAGGATGGAATCAGCAGATCCGATTTGCCCTGGAGTCCAGTGAAGAGAGAAATGGCCCCTGACCTAAGTAGGGAGGATGTACAGAGGAAGTTCCCTTGGGAAGCTGGCAACCGGATCGACCGCATCCCTGTTCTGTGCCCATCTTACAGCCAAGCCTGTGTGGCCTCCAGCCACCACCCCTCCACCTCTCAGTTCCCCTTTCCCTGGTTCAGACTAAAGGGGCCAATTGGGAATTAACCCAAGTGAAGACTGGGGGCAACCTGCTTGCTGGTTGTGTAACTTTGGATAAGGCATTTCTCCTGCTGTACTTCAGAATTCCCTTATAAGCAGAGTGAGGTACAGGGACCAGTGCATCTTAAGATGCTGAGGCTGGCTGGGCACTCCAGTGCATGCCTGTGATCCCAGTGACTTGGGAGGCTGAGGCAGGAGACTCACAAATTAAGGCTGGCCTCAGCAAATTAGTGAGACTCTGTCTTAAAAAAAAAAGTAGCTCAGTGGTAAGGTAAAGTGCCCAGTATTCCCCCAGTCATCCTGGAAAAAAGATGCTGAGGCTGGTCTCATGGAGGTGTATATGATATGTGGGGCTGTTAGCTGGGCTGACTCTTGGCAGACTCTTTGGGGGAGATCCTCAAGGAAACCAGGAATAGTCATGTGCATTATTATACCCCAGGAAGGAGGTGCTGTATGTCATCCCTTTTATAGATCAGGAAACTGAGTCTCGGAGAGGTTAACCTGTCTTGCCCAAGTCTCTCAGCTAGTAAATTGTGCTCGCCAGGATTCAGACCCAGGCTTCAAAGCCAGTCTCCCTAACCACTATGCTACCCGGCCCCACCTTGGGAACACCTCAACCTCCTGGGGGAAGGTGGAGGTTTTCTTGGGAGGGTCTGTCCCTGTATCCTCCGTTGACACCTGAGTCACAGAGGCCAGGCAGGTATGGGGCGCCGAGGGCCCTCTTGGGGCTCTCCATGCTCCTAGCCCCCTCCCACCCAGCAGCCTCTTACCCGCCCTTTATGAGCAAGGTGGAGCCGGCTCAGTTCCGCCTTAATGGTTTCTGTTGCTGGCTGCGGCAGCATGTTTTACGAGGGGTGGGGCCGTGCCCAGTGCTGCCTGCAGCCCCACCCGGGGCTCCGCCCCACAGACACAGACCTGGCAGCTGGGAGGGGTCCCCTGGAGCAGCTGGGTAATTACCTTGCGGGGGTGGCAGGGAAGGGCCTGGGGGCTGTGCCTCAGGCTCGTGCTCCCAGGGATACTCAGAGTCTGGGGGTGCCAAGAAAGGGGGTTCTAGCTCCTTTCCCATCATCAAGGGGCTGCTGGGGGGCATCATTCTGGCCCCTCTGAATCTGGATCCTTCTTTGGTTTCAGGAAATGGGTCAAGGCCCCCTGCCTTGAGATCTGACTAGAGTGCTTTGAGGAGCCAGTAGTGGCAGAACGGCTGGGGATGGAGTTGGCAAGAAGAAGGAAGGATGAAAAGCAGCCACGTACTTATGCTCTGCGACGCTCTCAAACTGAGCTGCTGACACCTGCCGCTGTGTCATTCCCATCCCCCAAATCAGGTCTCTTCTAAATTCACCTAGGTCATCCCCCTGCCTCAGGAAACAGGCCGATTGCAGAACATCCCTCAGTACATCCATCCTGAAAAAACACTAGAGCCACCTTCTCTGCCTGGGCTGGCCTGGGAGTGCTTCCAGATATCTAACACTAATTCTTAAAATCTCAGTCTGCTGGCCCTGTCCTTCCGGCCATTCACCAAGTGATCTCCAGAGGCTATTTAAGAACTATAGACTCATTCCTTCTCTGGGGAGGGCGCCTGCTTTGCTGTGGATGCCTGACTGACAGCTTCCTGTTCTCCCACTCGCCCTTATCCAGCATGCCTTCCCTTTTTGCCATCCCTGGTCACCTCTGAGCAGCTTCCCAGCTCTCCAGTCCCTCTCCAGCCCTTGCCACCCAGCCTTGGTCCCAAAGGAGCCCAATGCAAGCACTCACGGGGGGCTCTGGGCCATGGCCACCATCACAGCTCCGGGGAGTCATTCAGTCTGCAGCTCCCCAGGAGCCTCCATCCGGGTATAAATACTCCCCGGAACCTGGACCAGCCCCCTGCCCCAGGGCTGGGGCGGGGCTGCCTCCCCAGGCCAGACAGGTAGGTCACATGCCCCATAAATGCCACTGGACCACAGGCCCTTCCCAGCAGCCCTGACCTCTCTGGGTGGATGGATGGATGGATGGATGGGTGGGTGGATGTATAGATGAACAGTTGGATGGACAAATGGGTGGTTGGATGCTAGATAAAAGCTGGAACATCTTCCAAATAGATGGACAGATGGATGAATATCCTTGGTCTATCAGTGGATGCTTACTTTGTCGAGGGCAAGGAATTTATTTCAAAGAAACAAGGAAAGCTGTCCCTCAGAGGTCCCTTTCATCCCTTTCTGACACATACCTTCCAGATCTTCTTCTCTCCCCTCTGTGATCACCCAGTCTGAGGGATCAGCTCTGCTGGACGCCCCCTACTCCTGAGATGTCCCTTTCCAGAGACCTCCTACCAGACCACCCCCTGGTGCAAGGGATTTGGCTCTTTCTTTGGGGTGTCATTCATGATCTGCTTTTTCCTGCCTCCTGCCTACCTACCTGTGCTGGAGTCGACACTCTGAGGCTGTGAGCCCACCCCTATATCTTGCTCTCAGAAGTAAGGTTATCAGATATGGGGGCATTCTTAAATCCAAGCACAGAAAACCCTGGGGCTGGCAGCTTAGGAAGGAGCCCCATGGTGCCCTGCTTCCCACAGTGTGTGTGTGTGTGTGTGGGTGGGTGTGACTGGGGATTGAACCCAGGGCACTCTACCACTGAGCTACATCTCCAGATCTTTATATATATTTTTTTAAAATTTTGAGACAGGGTCTCTCATTGAGCTGTCCAGGCTGGTCTTGAACTTATCATCCTTCTGCCTCAGCTTCCCAGGTCACTGGGATTACAGGTGTGCACCACTGCACCTGCCTTTCCCAGGCCTTTTAAAAGTCATGTCGGGTCTGGTGGTGAGGACAGGTCTGGCAAAGGACTTGGAGGTAGAACTCTCAGGGCCTAGAGAGCTGGGGGATGGGAACTTCTTGCCTGCTCAGTCCTCCTCAGAAAGCAGTGAATCTGTGACCTTAGACACTGATTTCCAGAGAAGAAATTTCCTTCAGATCCTCAGTCTACCCATCTGATAAAGGGGCGAAAGATTGAATAACTGACAGGGAATGACTGAAGGGCCAGGAGGTTTTTTTTTTTTTTTTTAACCCCCACAGATTTTGAAACATTACCTTCAACTTCCTATAAACTTCCTCCAGCCACCCTGACTGGTGATGCAGTGGAGGAGTGGGATGAGGGATGGGATGACATTGTTGGCCTCTAAGCACCCCTTAGCTCTGTGTCCCTGAGGCCCAGAAGTTCTGTTCCCATAATGAAGTCATTCACAGCTGAGCCTGGTGTCCCCCTCCCCAACTGTGTGTGATGCCAATGGATTGTGGCGGTGATTGGCAGCTGAGGATTTGATCTGTGAGATCGACAGGAATAATGGAGCCTTGTCTTACCTTCTCCCCTAACCTGGCATTATCTCCTGAAGAATTCACCGAGCCCAGACTCCACCCCAACTCCCTACTAAGCCCCTTCCTTTCTTCACAGGGAGTCCTCCAAGGACCCCAAGAGGTCCTCTTCTGGCTCTGCCACGGGCATGGGCGAGTTATGGGAATGAACCTTATTTCCTCCTTCCTAAAATAGGATCCTGTGCCCTACATAACTCACCCAACTGTCTAGGGCACTGAGTGACCAGAAGGTCAAAGCACTCAGAGGAAGGTAAACCATACCATTTTATCTGGCATCACAACCTGCTCTGGGGTCCCTGGCCTCTGGAATATCACCTTCTACCATTGCCCCATAGGGTGCTCCCTATGGGGGTAGTCAGGCAGGCTCACATCCAGCTGGTGGGTCCCCTCTTTACCTGTCAACCTAAGTAGGAACAAGAGATGGCCTAGGGGCTCCTCTCCTGCTCCGTACATATCATTATCAGGGCTGCTCATTATCACTAATCTATTATTAGGAATATTAATTCTGCCACCACTACTAATAACACAGATTCAGTACAAGACAAATATATACTGGTGTACCTCCTCCCCCCATGCTGCCCAGCACGGGGACAGGTTGGACAGGGCAGGTGGTCATCTGTCTGGATCTACTAAACTTTGGAGGGAGAAGCACATTGGGAGGTCCTCCCACCTGAGCCCCTTTCAATGTGACGGGGAGGGAAACTGAGGCCCCACCAGGGGAAGGGATTGTTCCCTGCTGTGCAGGTGTCTGCACCCTGCTCCCTCCTCTGGGTTCCTGGGCTGTGTGAAGCTGGCTCTGAGTCCCCGGTCATGCCTTTGGAGAAGTAGCAGGCTCCAAGGGTCTCTTTCTGAGCCCATCCAGCTCCTAGGCTCCAGTCCCCACCTTGTTCCCTTAACTGTCCCCACATCCTTCTGGTCTCGGTACTGCCATCGCAAAGGATTTCCTCTCCAGAACTTCTCTCACCTCAGGCACATTGCCCTCGCTCATGTCTCTAAAGCCACGTGCTCTACGGGCCCAAGATGAACTGCAGGGGCCTCCCCAAGAGGGAGCCAGGGACACCACTGCCACTGATTGTAAAGGCTGCTGTGGTCATTCAGGCTCTGTATGTGGGAGGCACTGCAGAGTCTGATAATTGGGCTTTCTGATCACAGTGATGTGGATGTGTGTGTGTGTCCATCCCTGTCCACATCCTTCGCCTTCCGAGACTGACGGGCTGGTACAGTCTGGGACATGGCTGTGGAATTTACAAGTGGAGGTGGTACCTCCAACTGTCTCCGGGCGATCCGGTTCCAGGGACACGCCCCATTCTGTGTGTGTGTGTGTGTGTACTAGAACTGGTTGTAGTTTGTCAGAAGCAGAGGTTTCATCTGAGGGAGACCTGAGGGCCCTCAGAGGGTGTATGAGGGCAGGCTTGAAGCCAACTGACCATGCACCCTCCCATGGGAATGGGGTGGAGGGTTAGGGTCAGACTTCCCAGTGGGCTCTCTGTTGCATCTTTGGGGGGCGGTTCTTGAGGGATGCAGAGGCGCTAGAACTTCCAGAATAGCCACGAGAGCATAGGTTCCCTTTTCTCTGTGACTCACACCTGGCTCTCGAGTAGTTCCCTGAGAGATCACGATTCAGCTAATTCTCTCCTCGGCCCCATTAATCTGAGCTGACTAAGCAAGAGCCACAGGCGGGGTAGAGACCAGGGGATGCTCATGACAGTGGCAGTCATCCCTAAACAAGCAGGCAAGCCTCCTTGCTTCGGCTTCTGTCCATCACCCTGCCTCGGCCCTGATCCAATCAGTCATGCTCCAGACCCCCAAGAAGGTTGCCACTGCCTCCTTTTGGGGTTCCTCTGAGCATGTTTCCCCATCTTTCCTTTCTCCTGTCACACACTGGCTGTGTTGAGGTCTATCTGGCTACCATACTGCAACTCATCTTGTTTCATCTGAATGCATTTGGGTTTTTGTTTCGTTTTGCTTTTTGGTACTGGAGACGGAACCCAGGGCCTCATGCCTGCTAATCACATGCTTTTCCACTGAGCTGCACCCCCGGCTGAAATAATTTTTACCACTTAAAAGCATCTAGCTGGGTGTGGTGGTGCACACCTATAACCCCAGTGGCTCAGGAAGCTGAGGCAGGAGGATTGCAAATTCGAGGCCAACCTCAGCAACTTAGCAAGACCCTGTTTCAAAATTTAAAAATAAATAAATAAAAAGGACTGGGGATGTGGCTCAGTGGTTAAGCTCCCCTGGATTCTATCCCTGGTACCAAAAATAAACCAACCAACCAATAAATAAATATATATAACAAAAGCATCTAACCTTTAAAACCCAAATGGGATCAGGAAGCAGAGGGCTTCTCCAGGGATGATTTTTCCAATCTGTTTTGTCCTAGGGGCATGGCTCTGAGCCATGGAGGATATACTGGGACCTGGCAGGGACACAGTTGAGGGGTGCTGGTCTCCAAGGGGATTTGCAGCTTAGGGGGAGATCCATTCTGTGGGGGTGGAAGAATGTGGATGGGGCTAGGAGGGAGAATTGAGGAGGGGCTCGGGTCATGGCGATGGAGATCAAGTTGGGGATGGAGTAAGGTGGTGGAAAGGAAGGGGTCTGGGCCAGGATTGCAGATGAGATTGAATAGCCAGACAAGGTGGCAGATTCCTGTGATCCTGGCTACTTAAGAGACTGAGGCAGGAGGATCACTTCAGTCTAGGAGTTCAAGGCCAGCCTGGGCAACATGGTGAGACCTCCATCTCTAAAGCAAACTAACAAGGAAAGATGGAAAGAGAGACAGAAAGAAGAAAAGGAAGGAAGGAAGGAAGGGAGGGAGGGAGGGGAATGGAGTTCAGATGGGAAAGGAGACAGCGATGTGGTGGAAGGGTTAGGAGGAGGTAAGAGATGGACACAGAGATGGAAGAGGAAGGGGCAGGAGAAGGGAATGGGTACACTGGAAAGATTCAACTTACTCCAGGACCATTTGATTGATGCCTCTGGCATGTACTGTCCCAGAGGTCATCTTGTCCTTCCCCTGCTACCAGGCATAGTGCCAGCTCAACCCCAACCCCCTCAGATCAATGATTACCTCTCTACTCAGGAAACCACCTCCTATGGTCACTTGGCCCAGGAGTGCTGAACAGTCTCCCTGAAGTCTATCAGTCTCTCCGGCCGTGGAAGCCAATTGGGCCATACAGAGAGGGGAGCAGACCTACAGGACCTCTGCCCCCTCCGTCCCTCTGTTCTGGGGAATGGGTAGCAAATCCAAGCAGCCCCCAAACTCATTTGAATATGGTACTGGAGAGAATGACAGAAGGGCAGCAGGTGCAGGGCCTCTCTGTCCCTTCCTGCACATACACTGCCTGGATATTTTAACCGGACTAGGAACAGTCTCTGGCTGAGTGTGTGGACCCAGTGCAGGCAATGGGAGTCCTGCTGGTCGGCTCAACTCAAGCAAGAAGCAGGGAGGTTAGACATCAGGAAGGACTTCTTGGCTGGGAAGGTTAGAGAGTCCAAGAGCAATGGTGCTGTGTTACTTTCTTAGAGGGCAGATGGGACTTTCCATGGGGGCTAAAGGAAGACTTTCCCGGAGGCAAAGGATGGGCATATGATGGAAGGCACAGGCCACAGGTGGGCTTTTCCCAAGCCTTCTTCCGTCTCGTGATGAATGACAAGGGCTTTGGTTGGGGGAAATGTGGGGTCAGTGTGTGGGTGAGACAAAGATGAGGAGGGGGAGGGGAAGGCTCCTGATCTTTCTCTTCTTTTTCCAGGACTCACGGATCCAGAGGATTCTGGGGCTTCCTGAGCCCCTGGGAAATAAAGTCCTCTGAGAACTCCCTGGCATTCCCGGGAGAACAGGTTCCTGGCTCTGGGAGGTGAGTGAGGCGCCGGGCCCGGGGGTGCAGCGTGCCTCGGCAGGCCCTGGAGCCGGGAGCTGAGCTCTCAGAGGCTGCCCGGGTGGGGCCGGGCTGGGAGCTGAGAGGACATGCACCTCTCCCTGTGGCTCCTTCACCCCTGAGGGTCCCCAACCCGGGCAAACCCTGTCTGCTTTATGTCTCCCCAGGAACTGTCGCAGCTGTGTTTCTTCCTGGCCCACCGTGGACCCTTTCACGGATCCACAGGAGAAAGGGCCGGGGGTGCTGCTTGCCTGCATCAGCTGGGGATGCCTCTCTACCTCCTGTGTGCTGTCCTGTCCTGGGGGTCAGGGAATGACCCAAATGGTAAAAGCATCTAAACCAAACCCAGTGGGGACAGGACAATGGAATGCAATGCTACTCTCCCCACCCCACTGTTCGGCCTAGAGGAACTGGGCTTCTTCAAGGGGAGAAAGAGAAGGATATGGGAGCACATAGACTGGCCCCTGCAGAAGTAGATACTTCAGAGAGACTCCAGGAAGGACTTCATGACTGTGAGGGAATTGACTGCATTTCCTGCTGCAGGGATTGTTAGGAAGACTAGGAGGGAGCAGTCCTGCCTCGTGTGGGAAATGACCAGCACAGAGGCAGGGGGATGAATGAGATGACTTCTCCATCCGGTCCTTTCCCATGGACCTGCTGCACCTTGCCATTACCCACATCCAAACACACTCTCTCAGGCTGGTAGCTGCAGAGAAGCAGCCAAAGTGCCCACTTACTCGAGTCTATTCTTACTCCAACACGCCCCATTTGAACATTTAGGGAGGGTCTGGAAGGACTCCATAGGAAATGCCTGAATCTTACCCGGTCAGGTAGGGGGTGGGGAAGAGCCATGGGGGTTGCAGGGGGCTTCCTGCTACTCCACTCACTACCTTAAGGGCCTTCCCTCCCCACATCCCCAGTTCTAGGCTCCAGGGGTCCAAGGGTTCCCTGTTTGTCCCAATCTGCTTGCCAGGCCTTTTTACTTCGGGGGGGGTCTTGAGGAAGACAAAGGTCCCTAGACCTGGGGGGCGGTGCTCTGCTTCAAGCTCGGCATTAGTTCCTGGCCACAGCACCTGTTAGCCACCTGTCTGCCTCTCCACCAGGTGCACCCAGACCTCCCCGCATCTAGTCCTGGGCGCCAGGCATCTAGACCCCAGCCCAGCCTGCGCAGAGAGGTGGAGTGAGTCCCTGATCCACAGTGCCCTAGGCGCCCCCGCCCCCAGAGCTGGGCTCTCGCCTCTTCACCAGGAATAGCCACTAGGCTGGGAAGATGCCTGTCTCAGCTCTAGTTCTCCAGGCTGAGCACTACTGTGTTGTCATTGTCCCCAAGGTGGGCAAGCACACCTGCTCTAACACACAGAGGCCCCCGCGCAAAAGCTAACACCACACACTACAGTGAAGACTCCCGATGGCGAGGAGGACTGAGTTTGGAACACCTGAACAGGAGTGAGAGGGAGAGGCAAGGAGGTGGGGGTCCTCTTTTGGCCTCCAGGCACTCACCCTGATCCTGAATCTGTCTCTCTTGAGTTGCAGTGAGAGGCTGGGGAGCACCCAGATGCTCCCCGTCTCTCCTGAAGCCCATTAAGAAGGCAAACCCCCTCCCCAAGCCCTGGCCCAGCCCTGCTGGCCTCCACGGCTGACTTGGGCCAGGTCTCCTCTTACCTGCTCAGTGAAGCAGGTCGGCGTGGGGGCCCGGGGCTGGGGAGCCAGGAGCTCCGTCCGTCTGTCAGTCCGTCAGCCTGGCCGTCCTGGGTCTGTGCTGACATCAGGTGAGGGGAGGCAGCTGCCGGGTGAGCCAATAATTATGATATCAGCTTCCCCTTGCCCCGAGGGGCTGCTGCCAAAACGGGGAGAAGAGAAAGGTGACTAAGAAGCTAGTTTGCTCCTTGGCTCTTGTTTGACAGGTACCGGCTCCTGTGCCCGCCCCAGCCGCGCCCCAGCAACCCCCCTCCGCCCTCCCTTCTCCAGCGAGAGCCCGGGCCCCCTGTCCCTGCCAGCAGCAAAGCTGTGACTTGTTTGGGAGGGGGTTGTCCTGCCATCCCCACCAGCACCCCAAAACATGGATGTGAGCCCCCCATGGGTGCGGCGCAGGCCTGTTGGGACATGCACATGTGTCAGGAGAGCCTGGCCACCGTGTGTATGTTCATGGAGCCGACTGAGGTGTTCCAGGGAACAGCATGCGGTGGTGGCCCAGGGTTCTCTGAGGCATGGGGGGGGGGGACAGGCAGTGGTGGTGACTCCTCAAGGAGGGCCAAGCACCAAGCACCAGCACAGACTTGCTGGAAACTGTCCACAGGGTCCAGCCATCTGTTAAACTCTTTATGGTCCCTCTGATACCCAGGGTGTGTGTGTGTGTGTGTGTGTGTGTGTTGCACCCGCCTGTGTATGTGTGCCTCCCTCTGTGTGTCTGTGGGCATGCCGCGTCTCCTTGGAACTGTCTGTTTGTCTGGGTCGGTGTGTGTCTGTATATACGTCTTCCCAATGTCTGTGTGTTTGTAGATCTGTGTCCCCGCATCCAGGTCCGGGTCTGAGTCCTCTTGTGCTGTCTATGTGTTGCCAACCTGCTGTCTGCAAACCTCTCTGCTCTGGGTCAGCGATCCTTTCCTGGGGGTGTCTGAGTGGGTGGAGATGGGGGCTCCCTGCTTCTGTGCCAGGACCCCACGGCCTCTCCTCGTGGTCTGCAGGTTGGAAACAGGAATCTGAGAGACTGTGGTCCTGATTCCTGGCCCCTCCGAGTCCACATTGGAGGTTGCAGTCCCTGAGGAGTCTAGGAATTGTCACCAGCAGTCCCTTCTGGATTAGGCCTGGGCCCTGACTCTACTCCCTGACAGCTCTCCCTGCTGCCCCAGACCCCACCCCGCCTGCTTCTCTCTGCTTCCTTTTGCATCTTCCTTGCCCCACCCCAGTCTCCTGTCCCCACCACTCTTTCCCTCCTCTCCTCTCCCTCCTCTTACCCAGCCTCTAAGGTCTCCTGTTTCTCTTTTTTCCTAGAGCAAGAGGCTTCAGGGACCTAGTGCTAGAACTGCTGTCTAGAAAGGCCTAGGATTTGGCCTCTGGCCTCAGGGTGTGGGCAGGTCAGTTCCTTCCCACTTTCTGTAGCTCATTCTAAGGACAGCGGGAATGTCACCCGTGGCTGGAGGATGGTAATGGTCCTCTGGCAGAAGTATGGAGTACACTAAGACATTTGGAGCCTTCTTGGTTTAGGCAGAGAATGTTCAGTGCTCAACAGCAAAGAGGAGCTGGGTGTGGTGGCTTCCATCTGTAATCCCAGAGGCTCAGGAGGCTGAGGTAAGAGGATCACAAGTTCAAGGCCAGCCTCAGCAACTTAATGAGACCCTGTCTCTAAATAAAAATGAGGAAGTTTTTTGGATTCAACCCCCCAGTACTAGGGGGTGGGGGATGGAACAGAAAAAGGATACTAAGGCAGATAGATGAAGCTCTTTGCCAGCGATGATTAGCTATGTCATTTTCCATACTTCCTACTCTGAGCCTCAGTTTCCTCATCTGTTAACAAGGGAATATTATCCATCCAGGATTGTTGTGAAAATAAAATGTGTTTAAAGTTCTAACACAATCCTTGGTGTATAGTAGATGCTCAATAAACATGTGCCTTTTTGTCTTCACCAAGTCCTGCACTGCTGGGTGGGAGATGAAGATGTGTGAGCTTGCTCACTTGGTGTAAGAATTTTTTTCTAGGGTTAGATCAGGGACCCTTCTACCATGCGGCCTGCGCAATGGTTTCATTAATGAGGTTCTTGGCATAAAAGTTAGCTAGAAGAGATCGAAATAAAACACACAGACTCAGTTACCTTATTTCTATTGCCAGGTCCGAGACGGCTCCCCTCTCTGGCTCCAACCTCTAACCGCCCAGCAGGGCAGCAAGGATTACTCAGGGCTAGCAGGAGAGAGAGACAGTGAACACGCCTGGGAGTAGCCTTTTATTGGGGAACAAGAAATTCAGGGGAGAATTCCATCCAATGAAGGTTGAGGGGGGACTGCACTCCAAGGTCAGGGTCAGTGATTGGGCCCCCGGGGTCAGTGGTCAGTCACACCCCCACACGGACGGGTTCTCTCATCAGGAGAGGGCCGGGAAAGTTCCGACACAGCCAGAACGCCTCAGACCCAAACCGGGAGTCGCCCAGTCACGCGTGAGAATGGCTTCCCACAGACCCTGATTTAATCCATTTCTCTGGAACTCACATTAGCCATCAAAGCCCTTAAGTCTAGTAATCAATGGAGTTTCACAGTGAAAGAGCAGCCATGGAGATCTTCTCTTGTGTTTGCTTAATACTCCTGATATATTCAGCACTGATTATTTCTAGCCAGGTATTTCTGTATGGGATACTCTGGGTACAAAGAACTAAGAAAGATATGACTTGAAGTCCACCAGCATTGCTATTGATCAATATTATCCTGAAGGTTCTACTAGTACAATAATAAAGAAAGAGGAGGAGGAAGAGGAAAAGGAGGAGAAGGAGGAGCAGGAGAAGGAAGAGGAGGAGGAGGGAGGGGGAGGAGGCAAAATCTTCAAGAATTACAAATGACATGATTGTTTATTTAGGAAGTCTAAGACCATCAACTGAAAGACTATTAGAACTAATGAGAGAATTTAGTAAGGTAACAGAGTATATGTTTGTGTTGTGTGTAAAAATCAAAACCATTTCTTTCTCTCTCTCTCTTTTTTTTTTTTGGTACCAGGGATTCATCCCAGGAGCACTTAACCACTGAGCCCCCATCCCCAGCATCCCCCCCACCACTTTTTTTCCCCAGCCCTTTAAAAAATTATATCTATATCTATCTATCTATCTATATCTATCTATCTATCTATATCTATCTATCTATATCTATCTATCTATCTATCTATCTATATATATATATATATATAGAGAGAGAGAGAGAGAGAGAGAGAGAGAGAGAGGATCTTGCTGAGTTGTTTAGAACCTTGCTAAGTTGCTAAGGCTGACTTTGAATTTGTCATTCTCCTGCCTCAGCCTCCCGAGCTGCTGGGATTACAGCCGTGTGCTACTATGCCTGGCTCAAAACCATTTCTATATAACTAAGGCAACCAATTAGAAAATAAGGACTAAAGATCCAGTTCACAAAAGCAGCAACAGTACCAAATTCCCAGGAATAAACTTAATAGTCAACATAAAATTCACATGAAGAAAACAATAGAAAAACAAGACCTTCTCTCAAAAACAAACAAAAACCCCAAAGGTCTGGGGGTGTAGCTCAGTAGTGGAGCATCCCTGGGTTCAAACAATAGAATTACTGACAGACATAAATAGACATTAATAGAAAGACGTATCTTATTCCTGAGATGGAAAGCTGAATATAATATTGTAAAGTTGTCAATCGTTTTTTAAATAATCTATAAATGGAATGTAATTCAAATAAAAAAAAAATCTAATGTTTTTCTCCTGCCTGGGAATTTAACAAGTCAATTCTGAAGTTGGAGGAAAAAAAAACTACATGTGAATAGCTTAGAACTTTTTGAAAAAGAAGAAAAATAGGAGGAATTTGCTCTGCCAGGCTTCAAAATATCCCAAAAATATTTGGCAGAAAGCTAAATTTATTTAGAGCAAAATATAACAAAGTTTAAAGATAACAAACAAACAAAACAAAAAACACCTGGAAGAAAATGTGGCAACATATATAAGAAGCAAAGTGTTAGTATTTATTTTTTTAAACAAAGAAAAAGACCATCTCTCAGAAAAATGGGCGAAAGACATGAATAAGCAATTCATAGCCAAATTACAAATGGCCCCCAAACAAATGAACTTCATTAAAAATCAGGGAAATGCAGACCAATCCAGGGGTCAAGGCCCTCAGGGAGACCCTGATGGGATGGATGCACAGGAGAGACTGTGGCTGTCACCTTTCTGAATGAGACTCTGCTTGTGATGTGCAAGTTGAGCTTCCTTCTCCTCCCAGACAGGCCCTACCCCTGCCCCAGGAGTGGGCGTGGGCTCTGGCTCCCTCTTTCCTTTGGGAAGCGAGACTTCCTCATTGCTGGCAGTCTGGGAGTTGAAGCAGGAGCCTCAGGAATTCCACAGATCTTGGACTGGAAGGGGATTTGTGAGGTTTTCTCTTCCTCCTCTGGATAGGACCCTCCCTCGTTCACACCAGCGCCCCCAGAGTTCTCTCCTAGGCTCAGAAAGCCTATCTCTCCAGAATCCACAGACAGAACCAAGGTGGGCTGTAGCTGGGGTCAGGGGAGGCTCTGTGCCTCTGGAGACTTGGAGGTCAGGACTGGGGCACCATCTTCTGCTGAGTCCTGTCCAGGCTGGACTGCCTTGAGCCAGGAGCAGCCCTGGCTAGGGCCAACATCTGCCATGCTCCAGTCTGGAGCAAAACACTGGAGATCTCAGGGAGATCTCAGGGACCCCCACCTTCCGGGGTCCCAATATGATGGAGGAGGGGTGGCCTTCTCTGCAACCCACGTCGGGATGGGCCATCTTCTGTCCACTTCTGCTCATGTAGGCTGGACTTGTCTTCTCAACGTGAGTTCCCAAGACTGAGCCTGCCACTTGCGAGGCCCTCCAAGTCTCACTCCACTGGTGTGGAAGACACTAAAGAACATTGGCAAGCTGGGCACCATGGCGTGCGTGCCTGTAATCCTGGAGACTCGGGAGGCCGAGCCAGGAGGATCACAAATTTGAGGCCAGTCTGGGCAATTTAATGATACCCTACCCACCCCCACAGACTGCAAAAAAAAAAGGGTTGAGATGTCACTCAGTGGTAGAATGCTTGCTTAGTATGGGCCAAGTCCTGGGTTTGATCTCTGGTACTGCCAAAAATCGGCACAGGAGGTAAAGTACATGCTTAGCATTGGTAAGGCCATGAATTCAATCCCTCCCACCCCACTCCACCCCATAAAGAACATCTGCAGAAGAATGGGGCCTAAGCATAGCTGGCGTAAAATGCTGAAGGTTGAGGACCTCACATCAAAGGAGGCTTGAAGGGATCAGGGTTAAGGACCGTGAGCTTCCTAGGGAGAGGGGGCAGGCAGCTCCTTGACTGTGAAGCTTCTTCTTCTTGCCAGAGAAGCTCCAGGCCAGAGCTGCGGAGGGTGTGTGGTAGGAGCTGGGCGGAGAGGTCTGAGCTGTTCTGGTTGGCTGACCCCCTGGAAGTCCAGGGAGTTTCCAAGCTTGGTGGGGGAGGGTCTGATGGGAGGCCGCAGTTAGAGTCCTGCTGGGTGGGGAGGCTTCTCTCCCCTCCTAATCCCTCCTGCTGTGGGAGGCTTAGTTGTGGTGGGGAGGAGCAGTGTGTGTGTGTGTGTGTGTGTGTGTGTGTGTGTGTGTGTGTTCACTTGTGCCAGTGTTTGTAAGTACAGTACACTTGTGACTATGTGAGTACTTACATTTTTGTTCTCTCACTCGTGTGCCACCGTGGGTGTGCATTAAGCTGTGGAACTTACACGGTGCTGCTCCACGTGACTGTGCCAGTGAGTGTGAGTATCTGTGTACTTGTGAGAATACTCAGGTCTGAGTGATTGTGGATGGACAAATGTCTGTGACTATGTGTGTCTGTGTGGGTTTCCAGGAGGGATTCTGGGTGTCAGAAGGGCTGTGAGGGCTGGTGGCATGGTGTGTAAGAGTGTCTACGAGGAAGTGTGTGTGGCTGTGTGTACACAGGTATCCACGTCTGTGCAGGGGTCAGCAGGCTCTGTGTGTACCCAGGAATCCATGGCTCTGTGAACACATCTGCGGGTCTCACCACCTTTAAGAGCTATTCTTCTTGCCCAGCATAGTGGCACATGCCTGTAACCCCAGTGATTCAGGAAGCTGAGGCAGGAGGATCTCAAGCTTGATGCCAGCCTGGATAATTTAGTGAGACCCTATCTCAAAAAATAAAAAAAATAAAAAGGGCTGAGGACATAGCTCAGGGGTAGAGCGCCCCTGGGGTCAATCCCCAGTATTGCAAAAATGAATGAAAAGTAAATAAATAAGGAGCAACTCTTCTGAGTCCTTGTCTGGCATGGAGGCTTCAGGGGGCACCCTCCCTAGGCTAGCACCCCACAGGAACTCCCCCTGTCTCAGCTCTGACCCACCTTCTGCTTCTTCAGGGATCAACCTCCTCTCTGAGACTCTGGGGTAGATGGACAACTCATGGCCAGAGCAGAAGGACCTACCCTCCGGCTAAGGACCCTAACCTCTAGGGACACTAGAGTAGGATCAGCCTGTTTCCACCTGTTTCCCAGCCTCCCTGACATCCTGCACCCTGCAGGCTTCTCCTGCCAGGGCTTGAGCGCCACTTCCCTCAACCCTCTGGTTGCCATAGCTGTCTCCTGGCTGGTGGGGCCGGCAGGAGGAGGGGTGAGAAACGAAAACTCCCAAGGCCTCAGGGAAAAGGAACAGGGGCAACAGTAGGAGTTGGCTCAGAAATCTAAGCCTATCTCTGAGCTTAAAGTGACTTTGGCCCAGAGACCAAACGCTGCCTCAAGGTCTTATAGTACTCCACATAGAACAGTCTGGAAAGGGTCTTTGAGCGCTGTGTGTCCAGCTCCCCCCCCACCCCCCGCCACCGGGGAGCCAGAAAACCCTCTCTGCTTCTGATCCACTCATCCATTTTTCATTTATACAACATTCCTTGCACCAGGCTCCATGTGGGAATGGAGGACATGGCTCCGTCAGGCAGGCTGTCCTCTGGATTCAGCTTCATTGATGTTCTCCAGCAACAGGGAGCTCACTACTGCACAGGTCTGCAGGTAGGAGACACCCAAAGCCCCTTGCTTCCTGGAGGGCATCATCAATGATGGGGTGTGGGTACCTGGCAGGGAGATCATGTCCCAGCAATGTCCCATTCACCTGCCACCACCTTGATTGTATGTGCCGAAGAGGCCCAGCTGCTAGGCTGCCCGTACAAGCCGACCTGGGCTGGCAGGCCCTTCTTTCAAAGGCTTGCCCAGTCTGTGCTGCTTTATTGTCCAGCTAATGACGGTGATTAGCCCGACAGGTGCCTCCTGCCATCGGGCCGCCCTCCTGCCTGCTGAGGAGGGAGGTTTCTGAGCATCAGAGGGAGATTTGGTCCCTGAACAGGGTGATCGCACCCATCACAGTCAACTTCTAGACCCAGCTTGCCGTGGGTCCACCTCTCCCAAGAAGGCTGAGCCAGCTGTTCCTCATCTCCTGGGATTACTGTGTGACCTCCCTCTATACCCAGCTCTCTCTGAGCGGGACTAAGGGGGACATGGAGCTGAGAACACTGGGTGTGGGGGGGTGTGCACCCTGAGAAATCTTTTCCCCAGTTGGGGCTGGATAGCAATTCCTCAGCAGGGTCCTGAAGATAGCAATGACAGGGGGTCCTTCTTGCTATGGGGCAGGGCGACGCGGGTGGTGGTGGGGAACTGAGGCTGCTTCTGCATACCCAGTGCATTGTGGGTAAGCTACTGGGGGAGCCCCGCCATTCTGGGGCTGGCCCGTACCCAGTGAGGGGACTGTTGCCTGGGGCTTTGGGGGGTCCTGGTGCAGGTCTGGGAAGGAGATGTGATTTATGACTGTGCTTCACGTTTGAGGAATGCCAGCCTGGGGGGCCGGGGGAGGCGGAGCCACTCTCCTGACACTCCTTGCTCTCCTGGAAGTCTGGCATGTCCTGTCAGGATCCCCTGTCCCCTGGGGACAGCCATGTTCTCCCTGTACAGTAGCCCCCTCCCAGCTGCACTGCCCATGAGTCCCCCAGCTCCGGGGAGATGCAGTGAAAGCCCAGCCTAGGGGGGTGCAGAATTAAATCCTTTCTCCCTTCACATCTCAGCTCCCTTTTCCATTCAACCATGAGGCTGATGGTAAATATCTCTACCACTGCAGCAGGAGGGAAGTGGATGAAACTCTAGAAACTTCCATCCCGATGAGCTCAAGGCTTACATACCACCCTCCACAGTGAAGGAACTTGGGATAGACTCAAAGATGAACTTCTAGCCAGGAAAGGATGTTGAGCTCCTAGAATGGATGCCAGCTGTAATATCATCCTTCCCTAGCCTATGCCCACTTTGCCAGATAAATGAAAGCTCTGGAGCCTATGAGAGTTCAGGGTGAGGTGGCAGAGGAGGGCAAGTGTGGAATCAAGAGGCAGAATCATCCAAGGTTGTCTGGTTCTGAACTCAGAAGGTCATGGCCGTTTTGAGCCTGTTCCTATGAGTCTAAACTACATTCTTCTTGCTGCAGGGTGACATTTGGGGTGAGGGTCCATCTTTCTGGGCACCCTGCATGGGTCAGCCAGCCTGCCTCCTCTGATCTGGTGGGACCGGTTTTTCTAGCTGGAGGAAGGGTCGGTGAGGAATTGGCAGGGGCACGGAGTTTTATGTAAATGCTCAGGGAGTGCTCTGGGAACGGGGAGGCCGGTTTTCCCAAAGACACGCAGGGACTGGCAGCTCCCAATTAGCAGTCCTGGTGATGTCAGTGCTGCTATCCTGGGTGGCTGCGCCCACTCCGATCGGCCCTGGCAGGGGTGCCTGACCATTACCTTCTCCTGTGGGTGGGAGGGATGTCAAGGGAGCCACCGTGCAGGACAGAGATCAGGCCCCCTCCCGCCATATCTCCTGCCTGGCCCCACCCCCACCCCCACGCCGCGCGTTGTGGAGTAGTCTAGAGAGCCCTGTGAGAGACACCCCAGACTCTACTGAAAAAGACTTTAATCAGCTAATATTTGAACCCTCCCTAAACCCAGGAGCCTGGGGAGACCTCAGAACGCTGCACCAGTCCCTGAGACAGGCCTTGCTCCCAGGCCACTCCAACCCTGAGTTTCAATAAATACAGTGCAAAGGGGTCTGGTCACTAAGCTGGGGAGACAAAGAAGGGCAGGGTGTATTTTCTGTGAACACACACGTGTGCACCACCAAACACGCACACAAACCCCCCTCGGACACACTCACGACAGCACCATCCTCACAGGCACCGGCACACACACACATGCATGCGTAGATACACACGCTTTCCTCTGACACACTAGAGATGAGCACACACCTTCACAAGCACACTCGATTGTGTAGACATGGGCCTTTCTCTCAGTCTTCAGCCCAGGGCTTAGAACTTGGAGTGTCCTCTCATGGCTCAGAGGAAATGGGACGGGGTGGGATTTTCCTGGGCATGGCTAGGCGGCACCCCAATCTAGGGGCCTGGCGTGGTGGTGTTGAGAAGGCATTGGGTTGTGGTATTGAATTGGGCCCAGAAAGGGAAAGTGTGCAGGTCAAAGATGGGGATGGCCCAGCTGTTGATGGCTAGCGTGATGACCAGCACTCCAATGATGTTGAGCAGGAATCCTGCCCGGGCCTGGTGGGAAGAGAGCCAGTTCGACTAAGCAGATACTGAGCAGCACCATTAAGTACCTCTCAAGTGTCCAGGGGTGCTCTGAGCCCTTCCAATAGCAAAACTCTGGGAAGTCCTTCTTGTGATCTAGCCCGCAGGGCTCAGCAACTTTCTTGCTATTTTCTTGACTCCCAGGGCTAACCGGGAAAAGGGGGCTCCTCATGAGCTGCAAACCTGGGCCTTGTTTTCTCTGAGTTCATCTCCCTAGTATGGGTACTCCAGGCCCTCTGGATCTTCCGCATGTCCCCCACTTCCTTCCCTCTCTCATGGCCCAGGGCTGGAAGTGCTTGAAGATGTTCCAACTGAGGGGTCCTGTCCCCAGTCTCCCCTGCTGTCCCCTCACCCCCGAGGGTCCCACTCTCAGCTTGGAGACTCTCAGTGCCTTTCAGCCTTCTTTGTGGCCCAAGAAGTTGGAAAGACAGGGCCGGAAGGAGTGCTGAGACCTCCAGCCTTGCTTGCCACTCACCATATCTGACACTTTGAGGCCCCCGAAAGAGAAGACGATGGCATTGGGTGGGGTGGCCACGGGAAGCATGAAGGCCAGGGAGGCCGCCAGAGTGCAGGGGAGCATGACATAGAGCGGGTGGAGGCAGATGGCCTGAGCCTGGAGAGGGGACAGTGGGGCAGAGCTGAGCTTGGTCCCCATCCCAGAAGGAAGGTTGTGGCCCCAATTCTCCTGCTTCCCCGGCCTGGGGGACAACCCCAACCCCCTGCACTCTCTCTGGTCATAACCCACCGCTTCTGCCAGAAAGCCCCGGGTGACCTAGGAAAGGCCCCTTGACCTCCCTGGAGGGGATGAGTGTGCTGTGGGGCGTAGTGAGGGGAGGGGCCCATAAAACAGATCTCAAAGGGGCTCGGGAGGTGTCATCAAAGGCTGTGGGAACGCGCCTGGAGAGGAAGGGGCTGGGGACGCTCCAGGGAGCAATTTTACCCCGTCACCTCTGGAATGACCAGAACAGGGCTGGGGCAGGGAGGTGGGCGAGGCCACCTCTGAGCCCCATCAGGATATTCAAGGGGTGATGTCACCAGGGAGGGGGTGAGTCAGGGGCCAGAGGGCCTTGGGGCCCCAGAGCCCAAGAATCTGGGGAAGGGTGAAAGCTCAGGGGTCCTCTGCAGGAAAGAAGAGGAGGCGTGAAGGCAGGTCACTGTGCCCGCAGGCAGAGCCCCTGGTGGGGCAGCCAGGAGGGGTGCCTGGGGGAGAGGTCCAGCTCACCATGGAGGCCAGGATGGGCAGGAAGAGTGTGGTGGTGGCCACATTGCTGGCGCACTCAGTGAAGGTGGCAACCAGGAGACACAGGAGGAAGGCGGTAGCGGGCGGCGGTATACTCTGCAGCGGGGCCAGTTTGTCTCCCAGCCACGCAGACAGGCCGGATTTCTGGGTGCAGGAGGGTGGCATTAGGAGACAGGGCTGCCCGGGGCTGCCCCTAGCCCTCTGCTGGGGGCTCTGGGAGGATCCTGCTCCTGCCACATCCCCAAGGTCTTCAGAGTGAAAAACGACTCTGAGGGGAAGACAGGAGCCACCTAGAATCAAGAGGTCCCTTCTGCTGCTCTTGAGGAACGAGGGGAGGGGAGAAGGGCCAGATGAGAAACTAGGAGGAAGGGTCCTCAGAAAATCTGGGACTTGGCCGGGGGGTGGGGGGGGGAGCCTTCGCCCCATTTACCCCTGCTTTCCTGACTCCTCTCAGGGGGTCACTGGGCCAATTCAGCTTTCTCCCTGTCCCCTCCAGCCTGGTGGGTTGGGGCTGAGGGCTGAGGGAACCTTACTCCTGGCAGGAAGGGAGAGTAGTGGGAGGTCTGGGAAGAGGGGGACAGAAGGATGGGCAGTCCACAGGGTGAGAAGAGCTCCCAGGTCTTGTCCCGCCCACATCCGTAATGCCAGCCTGGAAGCGCACTGCACGGGGCGCAGTGGGAGCTGGGACTTTGCCTCATTCGGTGCTGCGGTCTGAAGTGCAGTGCTGGACACGGTGGATGGACGAACTAACTACAGGAGCCCCAAGCACCGATCCCTGACCTGGGGCAGCTGCCTCCTGTCTGCAGTGAATGAGCTCAGCCAGAACAGATGCCCAGGTGCAGTTTCTGGGATTTCCCTCTTAGAGGGAGGCTCTGGAGAAAGATGCCCTGGTCCCCACAGCCTGGCCTGGTGTGATCATGGCGCCCCCTGGTGGCTGCAACCGGCAGACAGTCAATGCCTGGCCAACCACTTGGGTGCTCCAGCTATTGTGTGGCTTGGATAAGGGGCAGGTCGGGGTGGAATTCATTGTCGAGAGCAGGCCCCACCCACCAGTGAAGAGTCTCTCTCTCTCTTTTGGCTCTGAGAACCCCAGTGGGAAGAGGTCGCTGGGGTGGTGTTTCTTCTTCCTTTCCGTGGATGGGACCACCACCTATGTCCCTTTAGCTTCTGCAAACTTGCTGCCCACTGCTGGGCTCCTAAATGGGGATCATGTCTGCCCTCCCACAGGGTTTCCCTCAAACAACCTGGGGAGGGGGCTCGCGGGTCTCTCACCTCACTGCCTTTGGCCAGGGCAAAGCCACCACCCAGCAAGAACACGATATTCCAGGGCATCTTCTCGCTCACTGTCTTCCAGTTGAGGAGGGCGGGAGGGGCCTTCAGCCTCCCTGGGTTTTCTACTCCCCAAGCAGAGAAGGATGGGTCACCCAGAGCCAACCGGCCTCCACTTGGGGGCTCCTGAGTGGGTCCCTTCAGAGCTTAGTGCATGCAGGAGGGAATCCCTCAGTTCTACAATGTTCCAACTTCCTTCCTGAGTCCCTGTGCCCTTGGCAAGTCACCCCAACCTCTCTGGGTTTTGTTGACTCCTGCCAAAGGTGCATTACATGCCTGCAGGCAGGGGCTGACCAGAGACCCTTTCTTACCCAGTCCAGGTGCTTACCTGGGTTCTGGGTCAGCCCTGGGATCTTGGAGGGCAGGATGAACATAATTATGCTGATGAAGATGGCCACTGTCCCATCGGAGGCCATGCTGTGGGTGGGGCAAGGAGGACAGACTTTGTGGCTCAAGACTGCTCAGACTCACAGGGTGGAGGGGTGGTAGAGAGAAGCCTCTGTCCTCCACCCCCCACCCCAAGAGTGACCTTGTGTTCTGCACTGGGGACTCTGCTCCCTTCCCTCACCTCCCAGCATTAAGCCTCAGGTATGTCTCCTCCTCCCCAACAGCTCTCACCTTTCGCCCTTGTCATTAGGAAAAGCTAGGTTACCCCAGCCTTCAAAGAAACCCGGCTCTCGTGTGAACCACAGCAGCACCAGGGCCACAAAGAGGATGGTGACAGCCTTTTCTGCAAAGCTCATGGGGCCCAGCAGCTTGTGCTCTCTATGGATGACTTGTAAGGCTGCGTCCTTTCGCTCATTTTCCTGTTCTCCAAAGCCAAAATTCTTCCGGAAGCTGTAGGCAGAGGGCAGGAACAGCTCATGAGGCCCTATACCAGGCAGGGAGCCAGGGGCTCTGAGTATCTATGATGTGAAGACTGAAGCCCAGAGAAGTCATTTTGGGGTCACTCCACTAGCCCTGACTCTACTGATGGTTCTGGAGAAGAGCAGAAGACTCAGAGGGGACCATGGCTTACCAGGGGGAGCAGGTTGACTTGTGCTTGTCCCTGCTCCACCTGCCCTTCCTCCAAGGGATCTCTTTGGCTGGCCTAGTAGGACCTAGTGGCTTGGACCCTCTGTCTCCTCCCGGTGCTGACTCACAGCTTCCCTCCTTCACAAGCCTCTCAGAAAATCCTCCTGCTGGCCTCTGGGTGTCCCCTGCCAGCCTGAGCCCCACTGGAATTGTCCTCAGTGGCACAGGAGGCTATAGCCTGTTTCCTTGCACTGCTTATGTAACTTGTGTTGACATTTAACTTTTCACTGGGTAAATCTCACTTGCCTTCTGGACTATGAGTTCTTCAAGGGCAAAGAGCATGCTTTACACATCTTTGACTTCCCCATGGTGCCTGGCACTGTGCTGATCTCTTCAACAACCACCTTGCCTTGTACCAGCCCCCCACCTTAATCCAACCTCCTCATATGTGACCGAGTGATTTGCTGAAAGTATAGCAATGATGCTTACAAACTTGCAATGGCTCCCCTCTGCCTGGGAAGGCAGGGCAAATAACTCAGACCACAGTAGCACTGATACCCCCACTCCTGTGCTGTATGCACAGTAGACATCACTAATCAATCCCAGACTTGATTCCAACTGAGTCTTATCAGGGTGTCCAAGGATTTTTAACATAGAACCCCAAAAGTGACTAGGAGTAACTCAGGGTTGCAAATAGGAATGCAACCTTATTACTCTTGACCTCAAGAACAAGCCCTCAAATCTTCACGTGGCTCACAATATCTTCTGCAATCTTCCCCTGCCCGATTCTTGAGTTTTGTGTCCTGATACTCCCCCAACCGCCCCTTTTTCTGTTTTGTGTTTCAGACCCACAGAGCCAAGAGTCCCTCCAAATGCACAGGCTCTTCCTTGCCTCTATGCTTTGGAATGTGTTGATCTGTTCTCTACTTGACTGATTTTAGTCCTGCAAGAGTGGGCTCAGACATTGTCTCTTTGAGAAGCATCTTAGAGTATCCACTACCAGAAGCACTTCATCCTCTGTCATGGTCTCCACCGTATCATCATCCATCAAGGATTTGCCAAATGCCCATCAGTATTCTCAGCACTTAGCACAGGCTCCAAGCATGCAGTCGGAACATAACAAATGCTTCTACAATTGTCATGTTCCTTAAGCACTTATCCAAGGACTGTGGAGCATTAGGGGAAGGGCCTGGTATGGGCATCAGGAGACCTACTTTTCAATCCCAGCACTGAAAAATCTAGTGGCGACCACCCTCAAGACAGTGCTCATCTACCAACTTAGGTAACATCATCCACCAAGCAATTCCCTCAAATAGGAGGTCAAGTGCACAGAGGGGCCTTGGGAGAAAGAGCCTTCTCAAGGGCTCTGTCATTTTTCACATCTGGACCCCACCAGAAGCTCCCAGGGGTACAGATAAAGACCTGGGCATCTCTTATTCACTCCGCCACTTACTTGAAACCCAGGAAGAGGACCTGAAGCCAAAGCCAAGCCAGAATCAGCAAGATGACCATGGTGGGGAAGGCAAAGCCGAACCAGGAGGCAAAGTTCACCACGTTAGGGTTTTGGGGGAAGATCCTGAAGGGGACATAGGCTGCTGTGTGACATTGCCACAGCAACTGCCCAGCCCCAATTGCCTCCCAGGGAGAGCTCAGGCCTCCCCTACCCCATCCCTGTCATGCCTCCTGCCCTCAGTCACTCACGAGGAGACCTGGCCTTGCAGCACTAGGTTGGGTGTGGTGCCAGTCAGTGTGGCGATGCCCCCGATGCTGGCCGAGTAGCAGACGCACAGGCTCATGCACTGCGTGAAGCGGATCTGTTCTTGAGTTTTCTGTACTTTTGGCTTTGAAGGAGCAGCGGCGACAGGGGTGGCCTGCCCGTTATCTGAGGAATAAGAGAAAGTTCAGGTTGGGACAGGCATAGGGACAGCTTCGGGGAACATGGTTGAGGCTCCATGGCCCCCAGGGTACCTTGTCAGTGGACAGCCTAGACCTGGGCTGGGAGGAGGACAGAAGCTGTTCCTAGGTCTGAGTGGGCCCAGAATTCCCTGGAGCCTCAGGCTGAGAGTACCTTTAGACACCATCTGGTCCATCCTCTCTTGAGAGAGGGAACTGAGGCACAGAGAAGAGAAAAGGATTATCCAAACAAGGCAGGGATGGCGCCTAGGGCACTGCCTGCCCACCCAGGCTCCAGCTCTCTTCTCCTAGGGTGACCACGCCTCTTGGATTGCCCAGGACTGACTGAGGGTATTCCTAGCACATGGGTCAAGACCTATTTTATTTTGAAAACTTCATTGCAGTACTAAGGATCAAACCAGGGCTTGAGCGGCTCTACCATTTATCTCCACCCCTAGCCCATGGGTCTTGGGATTGTAAAACCAGGAAAGTTCTAGGCAATCCCGATCAAGCTGGTCACTGTGCCTCTCAATTCCCTCTTCTCTCCACAGAGGCTCCAAGATGACCACCCTTGGGGAAGGATGGCCTCTCAGATCTTCCCCAAGAACTGAGTGGTTGGGGTAGGGCCTGCCTCTTCTCTCTCACCAAGCTTGGTCACCTCCTTCTTGGAATTTGGTTCCTGGAGCTCGAAGGTAGGGTTGTCAGTCCCCTCCTCGATGTCCTTGGGTGTGCCATGCAGCTGCTCCAGGACAGCATGCGCAATGGGCACCATCATGGCCGTGGTGGCTGTGTTGCTGATCCACATGGACAGGAAGGCAGTGACCAGCATGAAGCCCAGGAGTAGCCTAAGGACAAGCAGGTGGACACATTGTCATTCCAGCTCCCCTTCAGGGACTGGGAGCCCTGAGCTCCACCCGACCCCTATTCTCCTGTCCTGGTTTGTGGGAACTCACAGGGCCGGCCGCACCCCGATGAGGAGGAGCACACTGAGGGCAATGTGTTTGTGCAGGTTCCAGTGCTCCACAGCGATGGCCACGAACAGCCCCCCGATGAACAGGACGTTAGTGTCCTTGAGGTACTCGATGCAGACCTGGTGGGCAGGGATGGGACTGAAACCACAGGTAGACCTGGGGTCTCCCACGATGCTCCTGTGCTTTTAGGGTGCAGTCACTAACGTCCCTGCAGACTGGCTCTCCCCTGAGTTTTCGGGACTAAATGGAAATGGCCTTTGGATCATCTGCCATTTGATATTAACCAGGTTCCCCTGTTCTTGCCAAAATCACTCTTTGTCCCCTCAGGATGACTGGGCGACAATCTAGCCTGATCCTGCTCATCGTTCAAGCCACAGATTGGGAAATTAAAATAATTTTATGCTCTTTCTAGAAAGCAGAGCAGTGGTTTTCTACAAGTGGCCATCAGATGAACTCACCATCCTCACCATCAAATGCAACTTGCTAGAAATGAAACCACTCTCACCTACTAAATCAGAAACTCAGGGGCGGACCCAGCCCTCCAGGGGTTTCTGGTGCTCTTTCACGTTCAAGAACGTCTGAATCAGGAGTATAAAGCCCACCCTCTCTATCTGTGGGTTCTGCACCAACCTTGAATGGAAAACATTAAAAAACAAAAAAACCAAACTCATCTATACCCCACCCCATCATTATTCCCTAAACAATACAGCAGAACAACTATTGACATTGATTTAGGTATTATAAGTAATCTAAAGACAAACTTAAAATATAAGGAGGATGTGCATATGTTATATGCAAACGCTATGCCATTTTGTATAAGGGACTGGAGCATCCTGGGACTTGGGTATCATGAGGTCCTGGAGCCGATCTCTTGTGGATAATGACAAACTCTTTTACGGATTCTCAGGGCCCTTTTCCTGACCAGGCCCTCAACCTCCTTGGCAAATCTCGTCACTCTGGCTTTTAATGATCTTTCCTCATCAGCCACACACATTTCTAGGATGCCCTCCTTGGCCTCTCCCTAGTTCCTCTCTCACTGTTCTCTGGCCTGTCAAGCAGCGGCATGCACACCGCCTGCAGTGAGGCTCCCTTGGTTACCAGGGCTCTCGAGAAACCCATGCCCTCTCCCTGGGATCCCTTCCTCCTACGGATGGATGGGTGGGGCTCACCTCAGAGGCATCCAGGATACCCATCATGGGGAACAGGATGATGGGGAAGAGGGCAGTGACGGCCAGGGGCAGAGCCTCGGTGCACCAGAAGAGCGCCATGAGGATGATGGTATAGGCGCAGTAGGCTTCCTGTGGGCGGGAGGGGAGCAGCAGAGCTGATGGAGGGGGCAGGGGTGCGTCCCCTTCTGTCCCCAAGAGAAACCGGGTAATCCGTCACAGCATGGCGGGTGGGGTGCCTGCAAAACCCATGAGTCCCAAACCCAAGGTCCCAGTTTCAGATAGAAATGAAAAAATAAAGCAAGGCACTCACCACCTTGTCTTTGACCTTGGCGGCCCAGACATTATCATCCAGTCATACTGAAGAGACTGGAGTTGGCTGTCAGGCCCCATCCAGCCACAGAGGACTGCATGGGGCCCAGGTTAAGGTCCTGAGATGAAATGGGGGCTGACAGAGGAAGAAGTGGGACCTGGGTGATGTGGGCCCCTGCCAGGTCCTCTGGCCTTCCCTATCTCTTATCACAACCTGTGAGAATGTTTCTATTTGTATGATTGGTGTCTCCTCTGCTAGGAGGCAAGCCCCAGGGGGACAGAGTCAGTTTTGTGGCATCTGGATCCTTAGAGCCCAGGACCCAGCAGGCTTTGGAGCGAATCTTGTTCTGGGAAGGTCGGTGGTCTTCTCTGAAGCAATCCTGATCTGGCGGCTGCATTCCACAACTCCAGAGGCATGTTCACATTTATAGACCCCCCTGAAAGGTTTCCCCATCCCTAGGTTGCTCAGGGAATTATGGGGAGACCCTGAAGCATAGTCTTTGGGTACCAGAAGCCTCTCTTCCCTTACCAAGGCCTCCAAGTCAAGAGAAATTTGACCTCAAGCTTAAGCTGGAGCAGAATGAGGGCCAGACAGTTGGCCCTAGAAGTCAAGGGTCCAGCCTACTTGACAGAGCCTCTCCCAGGGCTGGGGAATCATTAGCCAGAGGAGGCCTCCAGGGAAGGAGGCACCTGCCCTGTTTGCCAAAGAAAGGGGCGTCCTGCAGGGATTATTGGACCACAGGCTGGGAGAAGGGCTCCTCTCTTAGCTGTTCCAATTGCCCTGTTCTTCTCCTTCTCCCCCCCTAGGCTCACTCCTTGGCACCTCATTCCCTTAGTACCCTGAAGCTTGGCAAAGGTCCCTTAGGGTAGGGGTAGGGGGTTCCCTGGGGGAACAGGAAGAAGCTGTTTATTGAACAACTCTTAAGAGCTGGGTGTCAAACAAGAGTCATTAAGGAGGGTGTGGTGGTCCCACTTTATGGATGAGCTCCGAGAGTGAAGTGGCTTGCTCAAGGTCCCAGAGCTAAGGAGTGGCAGAGCCAGGATGGGATAGGGCATCTGGATTGCCTAAGTCCCAGGGCTTCCCAAGAGCACTTTGCTTGCAGTCATGTAAAGGTTCCCTGGAGCCCCGCAGCACACAGCCCACACAATTGCTCATAGCCCCACTGTGGAGCCGAGCAGGCTCTCTTTGTACTAAACCTCCACCGCATCTCGGCCTGAACACAACCCATCAGCTTCAGGGGTGGGGCCCCTTGACCCTCGACCAGAGATCCACCCCTCACCTCCCCCAGCGGGATTCTGCTGATGCAGGTATTTCTCCAACCGCTTCCTTACCTGCAGTGACTGGCTGGCCAGTCACTTACCCTCCCCTTGGGCTAAGGGCAGACCAACCCCTCTGGACCCTAGTGTTCCCCCCACTTAGCTAGAACTATCTGGCCACAGGCAGGAGGAGAGCTGGGGCAAATTGCCCTGCATTGATCCCAGGAAAAAGCTCTGCAGAGGAATCGTGAGACCACTCTGGCAGGCATAGTGATGTATGTGCTTCAAAGGCTTTTAAAATTCACACTTAGATGCTCTGTGAGGTGCTGGGTATTGTCCGCATTTGATAAGAGACAGGTGAAAATAAATCAGGCAGATGTCTCAAAGCCACCACCGTGGTGGTGCAACCAGCTATTTGGGAGACTGAATAAGCCTGGGCAACTCAGTGCGACCTTGTACCAAAACTTAAAAAAAAAATTAAACGGCTGGGGATGTAGCGCAGTGGTAGAGTGCTTGCCCAGCATGCACCTGGGTTCCATCCACAGAACTGAAAAAAAAAAATTGCACAAATATAAAGCAAATAGACTGGGCCATCTTGTTCTTAGGGCCCAGCTTCTACCCTGAACTCAAGGCCTCCCATCTGAAGGTGTCCTCAGCCTCAGGCTGTGACGGGTAGGGTGTAGAGGGGATAAGCTGGGGCTCTGTATCTAAACAGAACTATCTTTCCAGGACCTGCCACTTCTCTTGCCTGCCTCTGTCGAGGCACGTCACTTTATTTATTTATTTATTTATTTATTTATTTTTGAGATGGGAGGGGGTGTCTCACTATGTTGCCCAGATTGGCCTCAAACTCCTGGACTCCAGTGATCCTCTTGCCTCAGCCTCCTGAGTAGCCAGGACTACATGTACTTGCCACCATGCCTGGCTAAGGTGCTTCACTTTTGAGACCCCATTTCCACACTGTAAAGGAAGTTGTTAATAATCAAACTTGCCCCTGTGACTCCAGCATGTTTAAAGTCTTTATTTTATTTTAATGTGGTGCCGAATATCGAACCCAGTGCCTCACGCACACTGGGCGAGCGCACTACCACTTGAGCCACATCCCCAACCCTCCAGCATGTTTAACATGTGGTTCCTTTCTGCCACTCCCCCCACCCCCATCTTTTTTTTTTTTTGCAGTACTGGGGATTGAACCCAGGGCCTCATGCATGCCAGACATGTGCTCTACCACTGAGCCACACATCCCCACTCCCTCTCTTTTTACAACTATGCTGGATCCCTCTCTAAAACCTGTCTCATATTCTATCCTGAAGCCTTCCCTGACCCTGGTGGCTTTGGCCCTGTGTCCCCACCCGGCCTCCAGGGCAGTCTGTCAAGCCATAGACTTATTTGCTGACTTGTTCTTCTTGGATCATGGGGCATGGAATTCTGAGGATCCATGAAATTAGATGCGAAAAACTAATCCATCTATTCATTAGTATCCAACCAAGGCTATGAACATAGGTCACAAAGTCCCAGTACAGACTGTCCTTGGTTTACAAATGGTTGGGTTTATAATTTTTCAACTTTATAATGCTGTAAAAGTGATAAGCAGCTGGGAGTGGTGATGCATGCCTGTCATCTCAGCCCTTTGGGAGGCTGAGGAAGGAAAAATCACCAAGTTCGAGGCCAGCCTGGGCAATTTAGGGAAACCCTGTCTCAATCAACAAATCAACCAAATCCTCCAAAACTAATTAACAACAAAAGGGCTGGGGATGGAGCTCAGGAGCAGAGCCGTTGCTTAGCATGCAAGAGGCCTTGGGTTCAATTCCTAGTATAGGAAAAAGAAAAGGGGCGGGGGTGGGGGATAAGCATTCAGCAGAAGCTCTGCTTTCCTGTACATCAACTATTAACCGTTCATCAGTGGTGAGTGCCCACACTACGGTCCTGCTTCTCACTCTCAGTGCAGTATTTAATAATTACATGAACAATTCAACACTCTTAATACAAAATAGGTTTCGTGTTAGACAATTTTGCTCAGCTGTAGTCTAATGGAAGTGTTCTGAGCACATTCAAGGTAGGTGAGGCTAAGCTCTGACGTTTTATAGGTTAGATGTATTAAATGCTTTTTCAACTTGAGATGCTTTCAATTTAATGTCAGGTTTATTGGAACATAATCCCATTATAAATCAAGGCACAGCGATGCTATTTACTTTTTTTTTTTTTTTTTTTGGTACTGGAGATTGATTCCAGGGGCGCTTAACAACTGAGCCACACCCCAGCCCTATTTTGTATTTTCTTTAGAGACAGGGTCTCACTGAGTTGCTTAGTGCCTCGCTGTTGCTGAGGCTGGCTTTGAACTTGTGATCCTCCTACCTCTACCTCCTGAGCTGCTGGGATTACAGGCGTGCTCCACTGTGCCCAGCCTATGCTGTTAACTTTTTCTTTTCTTTTTGCGGTACAGGGGATCCAACTCAGAGTTTTACACATGCTGGGCAAGCACTGAGCTACTTCCCCAGCCCTTTTTTTTTTTTTTTAAATTTTAAGATGGGATTTTGTTAAATTGCCCAGGCTGGCTTCAAATTTGTGACCCTCCAGCCTCCTGAGTAGCTGGGATTACAAGCACTGTTTATAGTATTATTGGTGACTTTGTTACAGAGGTTTTTCTTTTTTTTCTTTTTTCATTTCTTTCTTGCTTTTTATGAGACAGAGATTTGCCATGTTCCCCAGACTGGCCTGCAACTCCTGTACTCAAGCAATCCTCCTGCCTCAGCCTCCCAAATAGCTGGGACTATAGGTGTGCCCAGCTCTTACAAATATTTTATTGTGGCTGTCGGATATTGAATACTTGCCCAGATCAGTTGTTGTAGTTATCTCAGAATATATCTCCATACGTTGTTTATACAGATTGCTATCTGACATTATGGTAGTTATTACACCAATGCTAGATCTTTCTAATGCACTGATAAGGAAGCACATATACCTCTGAATTGCGATGTCTGTTTCCATGATTTGATAACCGTATTTCAAAATAATAGGGTTCCTTTTAAGTCTACACATTTTATTTTATGCATTTCAAAGCAATATTTGGAGGAGGGAAGCTGAGACTCAGCGAGGCTCCGCCGTGCCTGTTAAGCTGGGAGGATCTGGGCTCCAGGTTGGGGAGCTGACAGTATTCTGAGAGTCCCCCTGGGTCAGGTAATGGCCCCTTGTGCACTCCTGAAGGACAGAGCACTGGGGATCCTTTCTTCTTGGTCCCACACATGTCTGATTTCAAGGTCAGTTTCCTCTGCCCTAGAGGTGGGGATTCAGGATCAGCCTGTCCTCCAGGCCTGGTGCTCTCTGCCTTGCAGCCTGGCTTTATGGAACTTGAGCTGGCCAAGTTCATCTGGTAGCCCATGGCCAGCAGCTCTCCAGGACTGATACACTACACGAGTTCAAGGGCGCTGTTCACATTTGGAGTTGTGCAAGGAACAGCCTATACTGCTGCCTGCAGCCTCCTCTCCTGGAGCTCAGAAACCAGCGGAGAAGAGTCTTCTCCTGGGGGTTGCTGCTCTTGCTTCTGCCTGTCACTGCCTCCTGCTTCCCCGTGCCAGTTGTTCCTCGGTTGTAGCATGTGAACATTTATCTTCTCACTGTATGGAAGATTGAATGCAGGGCCTCACACATGCTAGGCAAGCGCTCTGCCCCTGAGCCACATCCCAGCCCAGTGTCTGTCTCTGAGCTCCCGAGGACAGGAGCACAGTCTCTGGGTCTCTCCCCTCCCTTCTTTGTTGGCCTTGGCCCCTCCTTTCCCACTTGTGCTTCTCCCCATCCTTGGACGTTCATAGCCCCCTTGTCCCCACCTCCATACAGTCCCTGCTGCTGGAGGCCCTGGGACTGGGGTGGGGGAATGGAGTTGGGCCTCTGGCCTGTTCATCAGCCACTCACTCCACAAGCACCCTCCCTGGGTCTGGCTGGTTCAGCCCCTCACACACTCCCATGTATTTTATTTTTTCTTCAACTGTGGGCCTCTAGTCTGATCTAAGGCCCAGCCTCTGTCACCAAGACTCTTGTAAAAGTCTCCTCATCCATCTGTCTGTTTGCTCTCTTATCCCTGAAATCACTTCTCCTTGCTGGATCCAGTGATCTCAAGGCACAAATCTATTTAATTTGCATCCCTCTCCCTCAGCACACAGCCACTCACCTTGAAGCAGCTCAGATCCCTTCAGTGGCTCCTGCTGCTTTCAGGTACCAAAGTTCAGGACTGGTCTCTGCCTCCTGTCTTTTTTCCCTCCCTCCTTGGTGCTGGGGATTGAACTTAGTGCCTCTCACTGCTTTCACTCTCTACCACTGAGCCACATGCCCATCCCTGTGGGCCGTGGGCATTAAAACCTCCCTCCTTGCTGTCTCTGCTCTGGCCACACTGGTCCTCTTTGAGTTCCTCCATCCTTTCTCTGGCCACAGGGCCTTTGCACATCATTTCCTTTCTCTAGACCTCTCTTGTCTCCCTACTTCACCTAATTTAGTTGACATCTACAACCTTTTTTTTTTTTTTTGTAGAACTGGGAATTGAACCCAAGGCTTCATGCATGCCAGGCAGGCACTCTGTCACTAAGCTATATCCCCAGCCCCTCTACTCAGGCTTAAGATCTCAGCTCAAACCTTCCTTCTCCAGGGAAACTTGGCTTCCAGGCTGGGGTAGATTCCCCATTTTTCACTTTCTAAGTTCTGGTACCTCTTCTGCACAGTGGTTATCACAGCCTATAATCAACATTGTTTTATGAACTAAATGATAAGCATCAATTTTTGTTGTTAGGCTGTGCCCTCTGGGGTCTCAGCCCCTTTCTGCTCATTCCAGCAGGGAGCCTGGCATCTTTGCAATAGAGCTAGCATCCTGAATGACTGAGTGAATGAATGCAGGCCCTCAGGAGAGAGACATTAGTCAGGCCCAGTTGTGCCCCCAGGCAGTCTAAGTGTGTGTAGCCTGGTCTGCAGAACCTGGCTGGGTGGGCTGTCAACAGTGGACAGAAAAGGGTCCCCAAACCCTAAGGCTGACAACATGCTTCTTTTCCAATGGGAAAGTACACATCGGGAGTCAAAAAAAAAAAAAAAAAAAAAACACCCTGAGTGCCCAGGCCCAGATTTATTACTGTGTGTTTTTGGACAAATTACTTAACCTCTCTTGATTTTCTTTTATTTCTTTTTTTTTTCCTAAGAAATACACAGCCTTTCCAGTTGTACACACATGTATCCCCTTTATATAGTTACAAATAGAAATAAGAGAAACACTGACCTGACTGGGAGAGTAAAAAAAGTAAAGGAATAACAGATGTGAATGTGCAGAAATAGGTTATAAGGCATTGCATCCCCTGACCAAATAACAAGGCTGGCGTTGGGAGTGCAACATGCTCCTGGACTTCAGGGAATCAGGATGCATGAGCACAGATGGAAATGAATGCACCAGAGAATCCAGGGCAGACTCTGGACCCTGGGTGAGCGGCCGATGTGGGCAAGGTCAAAGAATGCGGATATCACGGGCTGTGACTGTCAGGCAGAAGCAAATACACCCACAGTCTCAAGGTGTCACAGCTTACTTCTCCTGGTGATTGAAGGTTAACCCAGGGTGGGAATGGACTGGCACACAGCAGGCCTCTCCCGCTGGCCCTCTGCCCCTGAAAGCGGGGATGCGGCTGGCAATGAGCGTTCCTAGGGCTCAGAAGCAAGGTGGGACACTAGGTGGCATCCTGCCAAGCACCACTGTAAAGAAGAGACGAGAAGGGTGGGTGCCCAGAGGAGAAGGACTTCCTCCCTGAGTCTCCTTCCATTTGGGCTGAAGAGGGGGTTCAAGAAAGGGGTAGCTGAGTGGGTGCTGAGGGATGAGTAGGAGTTCGGTTGGTAGGCAAGAGGGGTTGGGGTGAGGGGGTGAGCACAGAGGAACAGAACACAGCAGAAAAGATCCAGATCCATTCCTGGAAGGGTGTCTACTTGGAAAGAACCTGATGTGCTGACCTAGGACTTTATTGGGAAGATAAAAGCCGGAGTCCTTTGAAGGATTTAAAGCAGATAGAGTGAAATGGTCAGGCTGGTGTTTTATTAAAAGATTACACAGGGACTGGAGGTATAGATCAGTGGTAAGGCATGTGGTTAGCATGTGTGAGGCATGAGGCCCTGGATTCAATCACCAGTATCAAAAACAAAAACACGAAACAGAACCAAAAAAAAAAAAAAAGAAGAAAAGAGAAAAAACTGAGTGTCAGTGGCCAGGCACAGTGGTGCACATCTGTGATTCCAGCTATTCAGGAGGCTGAGGCAGGGTGATGGCAAGTTCAAGGCCAGCCTGGACAACTTAGTGAGACCCTGTCTCAAAGCCAAACAAAAAGAATTGGGACTGTGGCTCAGTGGTAGAGTGCTCATCTAGCATGTGTGAGGCCCTGGGTTCAATCCCTGGTACAAAACAAAATAAAATTACCCACGAGTTCTCCGATTTGGGGGTTCTTAACCTGTTTTGGGTACCAGGACCCCCCTTGGCAGCTTGATGAAGACTTCAAATTCCTTAGAACAAGTTTTTCTTTTTCTTTAAATATATATTTTAGTTGTCAATATCCCTTTATTTTTTTTTTTAATTTATTGATATACAGTGCTAAGAATCAAACCCAGTGCCTCACACATGCTAGGCAAGTGCTGTACTACTGAGCACCCCAGCCCCAGCCCTAGAACAGTTTTTAAAATGCAGTAAGTAAAACAGATAGGCCTATAAAGAGATGACCGTATTGGAATCCAGCTATTAAATTATGAAAAGAAAAAAAGAAATGCTGGCAGGATGACATCCTTTCCAGGCAGATGTCAAATGCCTGATACCTTTGAGGACTGAATATACAAAGGGGACAATGGTCGATTCACTTATAAAAATGGGTCCCACTGTCTCCACAGCAACCCGCCCAGAAGCCAAACCGCAACTCCAGCAGCAGGTGGCCCTCAACAGTTGGGATTTGTTCAGATTGCCAACTCCCCTTGGTTTTGCTCCCCCCCCCCCCACCACATCCTTCTCTCACTTCCAACTCTGCCCAACCCCCAGAAAGCCAAATATGCTCTCCTGACCAGTCTGGGGGTTACCCTGCTCTACTTAGCCCGCCATCGGCTCCCGGTGCTCACAGCCTCCCTGCTGGGCACACCTGAAGCTGGCCCTTTCCTCCTCTGGTTCAGAAGTGTTCCCACCCCCCTCCCTGCCCATCCTGGGTCTCTGCCAAACGCAGGCGATGACGGCTGGCTCCTCCAATCCTTTCTCACTTGGGTGGACTCTGTTTATTTCTGCTCCTCAATGCAAAGGACTTTGTTGCATCATCTTCTGCTCCGAGAGAGGGGATGGAATTTCTTTCCTCCTTCGTTTCTTTTCTTTTTGGAGATCAGGTCTCACCATGTTGCTCAGGCAGGCTTTGAACTCCTAGGCTCGAATGATCCCACTGCCTCAGCTTCCTGAGTAGCTGGGACTGAGACAATGGATTTCTGAGTGTCAGAAATAACAAAGGCTGGGGGAAGATTCCTGACATCACAGTTTGGGCCACAGCCAGGCTTTCTGTGTCCAGTAAAGAGCCAACGCAAGCTAAGCCGGGGGCCCCATGAACACAGCATTCCCACACTCCCCCGTGAATTTGATCCTCACCACAGCCCTGGGCCTCACTGGATTACATCCAGGAAATGTGGCTGTTGAAAATTGTTCCTTCTTTTCCATTCCTGGCTTTCACCTTGGAGCCACTGATAACCAGGGATGTGATTTAGCAATCTGGGGGCAAAGTCCGAGTTGGGGAACCTTCTCTCTCTACTCCAGGGATTCCCCCTGGCCTTGGAGGCTGGCTCCTTCTTCTAGTGCTACTTTCAGGTACCCTAGAGAGGAGGGATCCTATCTCCACACAGCCCCAGGTGCTGCTTGCTTGCATCTGCCCTTAGGGACCATAACTGCCACTCTGAGGGGATGACCAGACATGCCTTCCTGTTTCACAGGTGGGAACATCTGAGGCCCTCAAGTGGACAACAGCCCATCAGAACAGAACTGTGGAGAAGTGAGGCATATATATGGAGCCTGAGGCCCGTTGGTGTTTCCTGGGGGACCCGGAATGCAACAAGAGGCAGAGCGTGGAGGGAGCTGGAGGTGACGAAGCCTGGAGGTGGGCACTCTGGGTGTGGAGGATGTGTTGTCTCATCTTCACAAGAAACAGCCCCTTAGAGGTGAGAGGGGTGGAGAGGCTTGGCAAGGTTGCAGGCTGCATGTGGTCTTGACTATATTTGAATCCACATCTTATCTGATTCCAAAATGCATACTTGGTTTTCTGGACTCTGCTTTCATCCACCAAGAGCCAGAAAGTCTCAAAAGATAGAGGGTCCAAATTCCTCATACAGTCTTCCGGTCCATAATGAGTCATCTAGAGAGTCCTGTGCCCTTTGGGGTTCAGGAATAGCTGGCAGGAAGGCTCTCTACACAGATATTAATGTACCCATGTCCCCATGTCCTGTTCTTGTCTTTCTAGGCATGTGGGTAGTTCAGATGAAGAACTTCCATCATCTTCTGTTTTCACTGTAACTCAATCATGATTTCTGCTGAGCTCTTGTCTGCCCAACACTGTGCCCTAGGGAGACTGTCTTTTTTAAGTATTTTTGGGAGTCTGCCTTTACAGATGGTCTCTTTGAGTCTCAGGAGGCATTTGCTATTTTTAATTTTTATTTGTTTAATTTTGCTCTACAGTGATGTCCCTCTACAACTGTGCTGCATCTCCAGCCCATTTTCTTTTTTTATTTTGAGACAGGGTCTTGCTAAGTTGCCCAGGTTGGCCTCAAACTTGTGTGCACCACCACACCCAACTGCGTTTTTGACTCTTAACTTACTAGCCGTTTGACCCTGGAGCAAACCATTTACCATTCATAGCATAAGATCTCCGCTCCTTCCCCTGGCATTGCAGGACATTGGCTGTCCTCTCCCTCCATCTCTAACCTTGACTTAAACACTCTGATTCTCTCACTTCAGGCCACCTTGCCAAGCTCGCTCCTGTCCTCAGCCCTTGTACTTTCTGCATGTTCTGCCCAGACTGCTCTTCACCCAGAGCTGGGCTTGACTGGCTCCTACCTGCCATTCAGGTCTCAGATTGCTGTCTGCCCCTCAGGAGGCTGCCCTCCCTGCATGCACAGCAGCCCCTCTCTGAGTCACAGTCAAAAGGTGCTCTAGTGTTTCCATGGCTTGTATAGCATGTGCTTTCCATATGTCTCCCCACTTTATGCCCCCATGAGGAATGCCCGTTTCGCCAAATTCTCTTCTCCATGCACCTAAATGGTACCCATCACATGGCACTCAGGCCTGGCTTCACCCATAAGGGAAGGGATACATGAATGAATGAATGGAAGGTGCCATACACTGAGGGTGCTTCTGGCTGCAGGGCTGGGGGTGCAGGGAGAACTTTAGAGTCTACTGTCCCCGATTGGCAGGGACCATCAGAGGGGACCAGCATTTAAGGGTTCTGTTGCCATTTCTGCTGTCTCCAGCCCTGCACTTTTCCTCCTGGCCTTCCCTCCACCAGGCCTGCCCCCTACATCTGCCTCTGACCGGAACCTCACTGAACACCACCTGCTTCAGATTCTCCCTCAATTCCATTGGAAGAATTTGCTCCCCCCTCTGAGTTCTGCAGACTTCTTGCTGTATCTCTGTGTGGCATAAACGCCTGTCTCTGGACTGTAAGGAGCTTGAGGACAGAACCTTTGTATTCCTTTCAGGAACCCCTGGCACAGAGCAAGTGGTCCACAGACTTCTGGAGAGGAAGGATGGCGGAAGGCTTGGGAGGGGGTCACAATGGGGTAACACCCTGCCTCCATGAACAGCCTCAGGCAGAGACCCCAAGACTAAGTTTCATTCTAGACTTTTATTTTTTTTCTAGCTGGAAGTTTAAGCAAATAGCTTTACCACCCTGTGCCTCGGTTTACACGTCTGTAAAACGGGAGATAACAGTAGTAACTCCACTTATGTGGCAATAGTCACACTGAGGCTTTTGTGAGAAATAAGTGAGCTAATACTTTGAGGTGCCTGGCCCAATGCCTAGCACATCAAATATACTCAATAAATGTCAACTATTATTCTGGATGCAGGTCTGAGCCTAGTGTGGGGTTTCTCCTTCCCACATTGGGGGCCAGAGCCTTAGTCTAGAGACTCATTATAGAAAGCAGAGATTCAATGGAAATTCAGAAAAGGGTTCCCTTTGCATTTCTTCATACCTTCATTTCTTCCCTCAAGAAGTATTTTCTGAGCATCTGCTCTGTGACCCTGGGATTCTGCCCAGGTCGAGATGAGGCCACTGCCCGCCTGGGGCCTACATTCTAGTGCAGGAAGTCAGAGGATAAGCAGAAAAGGAAACCAAAAGATTGTTTCAGATAGTGAATGTTCTATGACAAAAAACAGGGGTATGTAATAAAGAGTGGCTGGAAGATCGGAGAGGTTTTCTGAGATGGTCTTAAGTGGAGGCATCTGGGAGAATGGTCCAGGCGGGGCGGAGCAATCTGAGGGGCAGAAAGAAGACTAGATGGCTAGACCTGGAGGTGGAATGTAGGAGGTAGGGCATGGAGTCTAAGGGGTTGGCAGGGGGCAGAGCCTCAGGAAGGTGCTTATTCTGAGAGGTTTGGATTTAATTCCAAGTTTGATGGGAAGCCCACTTGGGGTTGTAGGGTTAGTGACATGATCTTAGGCTTTGAGATCATCCTGACTGCTGGGTGAAGAATGGTCCAGGCAGGGGTAGGACAGGTGAGAAATGACAACATCTCCACCCTGGTATTCCATTCAGAGTTCCCATGTCCCCAACTTATGATGGTTCAATTTAATGATTTTCCACTCAGGTTGGTGCAAAATTGACATATATTTGGCAGAAACCGTGCTGGAAGAATTGAATTTTGGTCTTTCCTAGGCTAGCAACATGTGGTCAGGTCCCCTTGGGTGATACAGAGCAGTGTCAGTGAGACATCGCTGCCAGTCAGCCACACAGTTATGAGGGTGTACACCCCCGTTCCACGGTGTCGCTAAGCCAGGATGGGTTGTAGGTTGGGTTCATGAAGTGCGTTTTCAGCTTGGCAATAGTTCAACCTAGGTGGAGTTTATTGGAGGTTACCACATCATAAAGTCGGGTGCATCTGTGGTGTTTTGGGGACAGTGGGTACACAGGGCCTGCTGGTGTGTGTGGACATGGATGGTGAGCCCTCTAGGGTGACTCAAATGAATGAGATGAAATTATCACTTCTGGGGATGGGGGAGGAGACAGGGACCCTGAGTTTTTGGCTCAGCACAATGAAGGAGCAGGTTGAATCATTTCTTGGTAAGACTGAGGGAAGACCCTGCTGGAGAAGATGGGCACTCAGGGTTTTGATCTGGATGTGGAGACGTGTAGGCTACTTACAGAAAAAATATTCAAGTGGAGAAGCCATCAGGGTTAGTTGAAGAATACAAATGTACAGACCAGGGACTCAGCATAGAGACGCTTTTAAAAGCATGTGAGACACCATAAGGTCACCTGGGGGAGGGGGGAGGGGGAGGGGAAGGGGAGGGGCTGGAGGGGACCCTGGGAAACCTCAAGCCTCCAGCATCAGATGGAGGAGGAGCCAGGAAAGGTGAAAGGAAAACCAGAAGGTGTCACAGAAGCCCAGCGATGACGGTGGCAAAAAGAAGGGTGACTGGCTATGATGGAAGCTGCTAAAGGGTAGAGAAGGGTGCAGATGGACTATGGGGTTTGTTTGGTGCCATGGAAGCTGGTGGGGACCTGGGTCTCTGGAGCTGGGAGCTAGTCAATGAAGAAAGTGCAGGTGTGGTGTAGGCAGGGTCTTAGGGTTTGCTGTTGTGAGAGAGAAGAGAGGAAGGAGTGTCTGGAGATGGGATGAGGGAGGGGTCTTGTCTGTTCAAGATGAGAGATATTATGGGATGTTTGTGTGCTGATGGGAGAGAGAGAGATCAGGCGGCGGGGGAGAAATTGACCATGCAGGGGAGACAGGATAATTGTAGGAGCAAAATCTTTGCAAGTGGGTTCCCAGAGCCCCCTCAGAATTAGGACAGGGTAGGCAGTGTCTGGGCCAGCTGTGGGTGGCAGGACCAGCTATACTAAAGGGACAGCTGGGCCTCCTAACACACTGCATTCCCACCAAAAGGCCTGGTTTCTAGCACAGGTTCAGGTTTTCCTGTGGGACCTTGGGAAAATTACTGGATCTTTCTGGGTTGTGCTTCCCCTAGGGTGGTGATGGTGGGGTTATCACACTTGCCTATTTGAAAAATGCATCGGATTGATTCCCAACAGAGACATCACTGGCTTTGACCTGAGAGGAAGTTCGTCTCATAGGTCAGCAGGCTAATTTTAGATTCATAATTCTGCATTTCTTTCCCTACAGAGGAACTCGAAAGGGTACAAAAACCTGGCTCCATGAAACCAGGATCTGTCCTGGGACTTTTGAGTAAATGACTCTACTTTCCCCATCTGTAAAATGGGAAGGTGGGACTTGCTTCATAAAATGGGGACTGGGGTTAGTAGGTACAGGGTGCAGGCCATGAGGTGGGGGCTCAAATGAATGAGATGAAATTATCACTTCTGCTGGGGCTGGGGGAGGAGGCAGGGACCCTGTGCCCCGACTGTGTGCATTGACAGGGGTTCCCCTCTTCCCATTCCCCTCCTCAGCAGACCTAGCCCTTGAGGTTATAGGTCAACTTCTCTTTTTATTTACACCTGTGAAGGCACAGACTACCTGAGGCCAGCTTTCTCCTACTTTCCTTCCTTCCCTCCCAAACCTAGCCACCGATCTCCCTTTTCCTGTCCTCCACACCCACCCCCTGCCCCCAAAGAGCCCAGTGCAGGGACTTGGGTGGGCACGTGGTAGGCAGATGGACTCCATCGGCCTCCTCCTGCATCTCCTTTACAGACAGAATTGGCTTCCTGTTCCCCAAAGCAGCAGATTTCAAATGCACCTGATTGATTCACAGGGGACTTCTACTTCTGGGTACCAAGCAAAAGCCCCCTTTGACCTCTTGGACATCAGCCCTCAGGAGGACCAGGAGGTTGTAATGACACTTCCAGGGTAGAGGAGATGAGGAGGCTATGCTGGGTCCTAAGGATGTCCCACCCTGGCCCAGACAGACCCTCCCCTGCCTCCCCTGGAGCTTTCTGTGCCCAGAACCCCAAGTCCTTACCTTACTGGGAACGAGGATGGGCAGAGGCAGCAGAAGGATGGGCAGAAGCAACACAATCAGATAGGAGCGATAGGCCCACAGGCCCTGCCAGCAGGTGGCCATGGTGTGGACCAACTGGAGCTGCCAGAGCCACAGTCTCCAGGAGCCAAGGAACTGAAGGACCAAACAGAAGGCAGAGCCAGTAGGTGGCCCCGGGGCAGGCTTATATAAAGCCAGTTGAGTGTTAACCATTGACCTACCCTGGCAATCACAGTGTTTTTGGAGCCAGGAGGTAGGAGTAAGGAGGAGGGACTTATTGGAGGTGGAAAGATCAGGAAGACTTTGCAAAGACAGGGAGGGGGAAAGGCCAAGGAATAAAAGCTTCAGATTCCTTCTAGAACTTAAGTCCAGAGTTAGCTCCTGTTTATAGAAGCTGCTGAGGGCTGTCACTGAGAAGGAAGGGTGCTTGGAGAGTCTCCAGCAAGAACCCAAGTCCTCCTGGCCCAGCCTCCCTTTCTTCCCCAAAAGCCAATTCTCAGCTGAGCAATTGACACAGGCCTGGAGTGGGGTCCCTCAGACCCACTTACGGAGGCACCCTGCCCTCCTGGAGCTGCCAGTCTGAGATGGAGAGGCTTGGAGCAAGCCCTTCCCCTCCTTCCAGGTGTCAAGGGAATTGTCAAACTCACCTGTCCTGAAAATTTCAGAGTCACTATGTGACACTGATCTGCTGGCTTGACTCTCAGAAGAGTCTCTTCCTCATTCTGCAATAATTTCTTCCCCTTGTGAGGCTCCAATTAGACACTTCGTGTGTGTTGAGCGTTGATGTGTGGTAGATGGACAATAAAGATTAGTTTCTTTCAGGTTCTTCCTGGTGGCCCCACCCTACCCCCCACTGCCATGGGAGACCAGCAAAGATTGTCTCTTATTTTGAAGATATACTTGATCCCTTCATATATCACCCATCTAGCCACCTAACTAACAAATATTTGCCACCAACTATGCACTATGTGCTCGGTGCTAAGGATACAGAAATTGAAAGGCTAACATTTGTTCAGCATTCAGCACAGGCTTCTTAGTGTACTATTTCATTGACTGTAAAACTACACCATGCGTTAGGTATTAACTATTCTTTTTTTTTTTTACAGAAGGGAAAACTGAGGCCTAAAGACACGGAGTGAGCCAGAATTCGAATGTGCAAGGACACCTGGAGGAGAGGGCGACCAGGCAAAGGCTTAGAGGAGTCTAATTTAGCCACCAGGTGTCAGGGGACAATGTACAAGCAGGGAAGGATGAACTACAGCCTGGAGTTGGCGGTGTGTGTGCGTGCATGTCTGTATGTGTGTGTGGGGGCGCACACTGCAGGGGGCATGCTGTGCTGTGGAGGAAATTGTGTGTCATCTATTTAGCCAGAAGCTCTGTCTCTTGTTGCCCTCACCCTCCTCATCCACACTGCACACAGTAGGCGCTCGGTTCATGTCCCTGATGATTATCAGAGTGTGGTGATCTAAGTGCGCCAGGATAAGAAGGCAGGGTGTCGGGGAGGGTGTTTCCGGCAGGGAATGCAGTCTGGCACGGGTGCAGAAGTTTGTGAAGTTTAGAGAACAGAAGGTTCTGTGTGGTTGGAATATGAATTTGGGGGGTCAGGATTGAGAATGGATAACCATGGGAGCAGAGTATACAATAGCATGGCTGTTAGACCATGAAGGCTTTCCTGGGCCCAGGGGGGTCTGTGTGAGAGAGACCCCCAGGCCCCTGCAGCATGATCATAGAGGCGTGGATGGACCCAGGTTGAGGGCTCCTGGGGTCATCCCCAGGCTGGGTGGGAAGCTACAGTCACACGGGACAGATCAGCCACCCCCAGCCTCACTTAGGTCTTGGCCCCTTCACACCTACACAGCCAGCCTGCCCCTGCTTAGGGCAAAATAAGCAAGATCTAGAAAGCTCCCGAGATACAAAGGGTTTCAGATGGGCAGGACAATACCTTGATTCTATTTTACCTAGGAGAAGGCCTCTCCCATGGCCTGAGGCTCTGGAGGAGCCAAGGGAGCAACCAGGCTGGGCCTCATCCCTCAGGAACAACATTCACTACTTGTAAAATCTGCATCCAATTCAACTAACTCTCCGCATCAACCTGTGAGGTTGGCTCACAGCAGTGAAGTGACTTGTCCAGAGTCGCACAGCATGTGAGTAATTTTGAGAACCCAGATTCATTCCCAAGACTGCCCATACCCTCCACTCAGCCCTCCATGCTCTGCGCTCCTTTGATGGAACAAGAACAAAACTCAGTGGTTCCCAAATTAGATGACCGCTATTTTCCTGTTATCCCTGGCTTCAAAGTCACAGGCTTTGGGGACCTTTGCTGATTCTTTTTTGAGGCTCAATGTTGGGGGCTATTCCATCATCAGAAGCCAGCTCCCCCTCCATGTTTAATTCATCTCAAAGTCAGTGTCCCGAGGCCAGTGGGAAGCCTCCTACTGTCACACTCCTAGTGAGAACTTGGCCTTTGCCTGGCAATCACAGCCAGGGCCCCACTCTGCCAAGCCTGATTCGATTCTCCAGTTTGCCCCACCCCTTCTTTGATTAGTGCTGGCTCCTGATGGACTATGACCAACTCATGCAGATACACGCTGTCCTTCTTCAGTCCTCAGGACTTGGGTTCTTGCTGGAGACTCTCCAAGCACCCTTCCTTCTCCGTGGTAGGTCTCTGTATTATCTCGGGGGAAGTCATAACCAGGAAGCTCCTGCCTTGCACTTTGCTCATTGACCCTCCTGGAAAAGGCCAACAGAGAACAGCTGGAAATCTAGGGGAGAAGAGATGTGCCCAGTCTGCAGGTGCCAGCTTGTCCCCAGAAGTAGATGGCTGATAAGCTGGAGGTAAAGCTGGGGCTGGGGCACAGAGGTAGCTTTTAAGGAGTTCATCCCTAGACAATGTGGGGTGGGCATTCAGAGGCTCCTGAGACAACCAGGGTTGAGCAGGCTAGGTCTGGAGCCCACTGGGGCACATCCCAAGCAGTTCAAGAAGGCAGGGATAGATGGGCTTGTTTTCAATTCCTGGTACCCAAAAATTGAATCCAGAGGCCCTTAACCACTGAGCCACGTCCCCAGCCCTTTTAAAAATATTTTATTTAGAGACAGGGTCTCGCTGAGTTGCTTAGCACCTTGCCGTTGCTGAGGCTGGCTTTGAACTTCTTCTGCCTCAGCCTCCTGAGCTGCTGGGATTATAGAGAAGCACTACTGCTCCCAGAGAGATGGATATTCTTGTACCAGGAATGATTTGTAAGATGTGGGACCGTCCAGCCTAGAGGACAGAAGACAAGGTGTAGGGAGAGTTAACAGGTCTTTGATTGAAGAAGAGGCCAGGGATGTGATCAAGGAGACAAAGAGAGGACCAGAAGGCAGCAGGGCTGGGAGGTCACACTGGGACTGTTTTCAAAGAAAACCATTCTCCTGCAAAAGAGGTGCCCTCCTCCCAGGAGGCCTGACAGTAGGGAGAGGTGGAGGAGGGGGATGGGCATCTTGCTCACAGCTCTGAGAACCCTGGACCCCAGATCTGACTCCAGGTGCTGGACTGCACCCTCGCCTTTCACGGCCTCTCTCCCTGGCCCACAGTTTGTCTTATATATGTTCATATCCACCACCCCTCCCCCCACACCTGGCAAAGTGCTCAAACATCCCTACAAGATCCAGTCCTTGCTTTCCGCCTTGGCTCAGCCCTCACCACTTTTGCCTCTGACCCAGCAATAAGCTGGGCTCCACTGTTTTCACATCCTCCTCCGGACTCTGTGTATTCTAAACACACCAAGGAGCTTCTCTTAGGCATATTGTCCCTGCTCCTCCTCCCCGCTTTATTGGTTCCATCTTGTTTATCTTTCAAGTCTCAGCCTAAGACTGAGCCTCTTTTGTGAACTCTCACTACAGCCTGAATTAGGGCCACTGCTTAGTGCTCTAGATGATCCCCGTCACACCTGTCCCTGCCCGTAACACACTGCATTGCATTCTCCTGATCACCTGCCTGGATCCCCCTCTAGACCATAAGCTCCATCAGGGCAGCGACTGTCTGTCTGGCCCTGAGGTGGAGCTGGTACCCAGCAAATATATGTTGAAAGAATGAATGGGCGAATGGAGGGGTAGATGGGTGGATGGAATGCCCATAAGAGAATTGATAAAGATCACACCAGAGAGCCTGCCCCACCGACTAGCATGGTCTGGTCCCTGCAGTTCCAGTTAAGATATACGTGGGGGCTGGGGATGTGGCTCAAGCGGTAGTGTGCTTGCCTGGCATGCATGCGGCCCGGGTTCGATCCTCAGCACCACATACAAAAAAACAAAGATGTTGTGTCCGCCGATAACTAAAAAATAAAATACTAAAAATTCTCTCAAAAAAAAAAAATTCTCTCTCTCCCTCTCTCACTCTCTCTTTAAAAAAAAAAAAGATATACGTGGGCTGTTGCTCAGATAACAAGGTGAAGAAGTGAATGGGTTTTTACCACCATCAAGATGACAATGAGAAGCCTCTTCTCCTAAGTCTCTATGCTCAGCTCTTTTTAAAAATTGAAGTAAAGATGGACACAGTGGAGCATACCTGTGACTCCGGAGGCTGAAGCAGGAAGATTGAAAGTTTGAGGCCAGCCTCAGCAACTTAGTAAAACTCTCAGCAACATAACAAATAAAAAAAAATAAGATAAAAAGGGTTGCTGGGCTGGGGATGTGGCTCAAGCGGTAGCACGCTCGCCTGGCATGCATGCGGCCCGGGTTCGATCCTCAGCACCACATACAAACAAAGATGTTGTGTCCGCCGAAAACTAAAAAAAATAAATATTAAAAAAAAATTCTCTCTCTCTCTCTGTCTCTCTCTCTCTCTCTCTCTTAAAAAAAAAAAAAAAAAAAGATAAAAAGGGTTGGGATATAGTTCAGTAGTAGAGCACCTGTATTCAGTCTCCAGTACCCTCCCAAAAGTAACAAAAATACACATAAGAGAACTGTACACATCTTAACCATTTTATGTGTACAATTCAATGCTATAAAGTATATTCACTGTTGTTCAATCAACTGCAAAACTTTTTCATCTTGCAAAACTGGAACTCCATACCTATTTACCAGCTCCTCATTTCTCTCTCCCCTAGCCCCGGCAACTACTTCTACTTCTGGTTTCTAAAAGTTTGCTGTTAATACTTCCTAGGAATGAAATCTTACTGTCAGTCTTTTTGTGACTGACTTATTCACTTAGCAGCATGATGTTCTCAAGGTTCATCTGTGTGCTACGATTTCCTTCTTTCTTTTTTGAGGCTGAATGACATCTCATTGTATGTATGTGCCACGTTTTGTTTATCCGTTCATGAATGCTTGAGTTGCTTTCACCTTTTGGCTATTGTAAATAATACTGTTATGGGCTGAGATTGTGGCTCAGCGGTAGAGCGATCGCCTAGCAAGGGCGGGACCCGGATTTGATCCTCAGCACCACATAAAAATAAAGGCATTGTGTTGTGTCCGTCTACACCTAAAAAATAAATATTAAAAAAAAATTCTATAAAAAATAATACTGCTACAAATATCTTTTTAAGATTCTGTTTTCAATTCTTTTTGATATATTCCTAGCAGTGGTATTGCTGGATTGTATGGTAAATAAACATTTATATCTATATCTAAATCTATCTATTGTTTGTTTGGTACCAGGGATTTAATTGAACTCAGGAGCTGAGCCACATCCCCAACCCCTTTTATTTTTTTTATTTTGAGACACAGCCTCATTAAGTTGCTAAGGCTGGCCTTGAACTTGCAATCCTCCTGCATCAGCTTCCTAGCATCCCTGGGATTACAGGGATGTATATTTATTTTTTGAGGCACTTTCATACTGTTTTCCACAGTGCTTATAACATTTCTATTACCTCTAATAGTTCACAGGTGTTCCAATTTCTCCACATTCTTTACAATACAGTGCACTTATTATTTTAACCTAATGGGTGTAAGGTGATATTTCGTTGTTTTGATTTGCATTTCCCAAATGATTAGTGATGTTGAGCAACTTTCCATATACTTGTTGACCATTTGTATATCTTCTTTGCAGAAATATCTATCCAAGTTCTTTGCCCATTTAGGTTATTAATTTTTGTTCTCGATGTTGAGTTGTGGGAGTTCTTCATATATTGTGGATATTAGCTTCTTCTCAAGTATATGATTTACAAATATTTTCTCCCATTCTGAGGGTTGACTTTTCACTCTCTGTCCTTAGATGCATATGCTTAGCTCTTTTGAAGCCTCTCTCTGTTATCTCATTTAAATTTTCCTTTGATATTCATTTTTATTCTGGTTTCACCATCTTAACATTGTGAAGAGGTTGTAGAGATAGGAAGAAGTGGTAAGATTAATGCCAGCTTCCAGTCTTTGGGCCCCTGAAGCTGACGCCAACCACTCATGTACTCATTCATTCATTCATTCAGCAAATATTGACTGAGGGGCAAAGCAGGGTTTTACAATCAAACAGATCTAGCTTTGAACACTGGCTTTATAAGCTTCATATCTATGTGACCATGGATAAGGCAACCTCTCTGATTCCAATTCTCTCTGTAAAGCAGCAAAGAAACTGGAAATGTAGTTGGAAGAAAACACTTGAGGGCTGGGAGTGAAGGTCAGTGATAGAGCACTTGCGCAGCATGTGTGAGGCCCTGGGTTCAATCCCCAGCACGGCAAGAAAGAGAAAAGCTAAGAACAGAAGAAGAAAAAGACTTAAAAGTGACCTGCTGGGTTGTTGGAAGAACTGGAAGCACTAAGGAAAGGTCCTATCTGCTGAAGAAGAAGATGAAGAAGGAGAAGAAGGAGAAGGAGGAGGAGAAGGAGGAGAAGAAGGAGGAGGAGGAGGAGGAGGAGGAGGAGGGGGGGGGGAGGAAAGAAAGAAATAAATTAATACTTCCTTGGAATTCAGCTTCAGTTTATTTGCCCAAGAGATCATTGGCTGCTGACAAACTAAGCAGGACTCTGTCTGACCAAGCTTCTCCCCACAGAGACAGTGACAAGGTTTTCCTTCCATCAATGTTCTGACCTTGAAGGCCCGTGTTTGTGAATAATGGAGACTTTTTATTTCCTTTCTTTTTCTTTTTTTGTGGTACTAGGGATTGAGCCCAGGGGCTCTCTATCATTGAGCTATTCTCCCAGGGTCTCACTCAGTTGCTTAGAGGTTCACTAAGATGCTGAAGCTAGCCTTGAACTTGCAGTCCTCCTGCCTCAGTCTCCAGAGTCACTGGGATCACAGGTGTACACCACCATACCTGTCCAAGCAGAGCCTTTGGTGAAGGTTTTGGTGTCTTTTTCCTCAAGACGAGCAAGTCTCAATCAGATTGTCCTGGGTGGGGAGTGGTAACCAGGCTAAGAGAGCTGGACACTGTGACATTCAAATTGGTGTGTGTGTGTGTGGGGGGGGGGTGTCTCAGCAAGGAGAGCAACTGAAGCACCTCCCAGATGAGGAGTGAGGCTCTTCTCAGTAGAAACAGGTCCTTCCCCTCTTCACAGGCCTGAGGGCCCTGAAATTCTGACCTAGGCTCTGCCTCTCTCCAGCTGTGCAATCTACTCTTGGCCTTTCTGAGTCTCAGCTCCTTCATTTGTGAAATGAACACGAGAAAATGATGCGGAAAGGTGTGCTGCTTATGGGAGGGGGTGTGTGCAGAGCACCTGGTAGGTCCTGCAGCACAGGTGGTCTCCCTCCTTCTCCCTTCCCCCCTAGTCCCTGCTTCCTTCTCTATTCTCAAACCTCCACGGGCACAGGGCTCCCCACCCCACTCCCTGCTGAGCTGAATGGGGCCTCCACTTCCAGAATGTGTTGCCACCCCCTCTTCCCTCCATGAAAACTCTCCCCATCCTCGAGAGCCCTTCACACGGGCCACGCTTGCCTGATGTCTCAGCCCATCCTGACCACAAAGTCTCCAATACCCCTTTAGGGACATACCGGCTGCTCTGGTTTCTGGCACAAACTGTACTTTTGGTGGTTACAGTTGTCCCTGGCGTGTTCCCAATGAGACTGTGGGAGCCTGGGGGGCAGGGCAGAGGTCTGATTCACCTCCCTTGGGTGGCTGGTTCAATGTGCGCTTCGTCCAGTGCTTTTCTTGGAAAGAGGATCTCATCAAAGGTGCCTAATGACGGACTATACCTGGCTGACGGGTGGACCCACTGGTTACCCTTACAAAGCATCCGGTACTCCACACCCCACCCACCTGCACACACTAAGCTACTTCCTTCAACCAGATGTCGAAGTGAGGGCTGGGGTTGTAGCGTGTTTGCCTCGCAGGTGTGAGGCACTGGGTTTCATCCTCAGCACCCCATTAAAACAAATAAAGATATAAAAAAAATTCAAAAATGGAGCCCCTTATCATTTAATTTGCAAAGCATACAGGACTCCAGGAAGAGGGGTGTCCTCACTCTGTGGATCTGTCCCCAACTTTGACACCCTTAAGACTCTATAATGTAAAGCCCCTTAAAGAGGCAGAAGGTACCCTGACAGTTCCAGCCACAGAGTTTTGGGAAGGAAGAGCTGGAGAAGAGGCTAGAGATTAGCCAAGCCATTTTTCTCATTTCCTGCTGAGGAAACTAAGGCTCAGAGAAGTGAAGAGATTCTCTGAGGGTCACACACACGTGGCACATCCTGAACTAGAACTTGGGCTCTTCTCTATGATTTTCATTTTGAGGATTCAGCCAGCAGGAACGTATCCTTACCGTGGATCCAGCCTTTGTTTTCTTATTCTTCCCCCTCACATACATATTTTTATTGGTGCACTATAGTTGTACATGATGATGGGGTTTGCTGTTACATATTTGGACACGCACACAACATAACAATATGATTTGGCCAATATCACTGAAGACTCACCGAACTCCCACCAAACTGCTTAAATTCGAGGTTATTACCACTCACTGAACAGAGGTAAAATCAGGCTTCAGAGAAAAGGAATGGCCTCATATCTGGTAAGTCACCAAGTCAGAACTTGAACCCAGCTCCTTCAACTGGTAGTTCAGCACCCTTTCCACCATTCCACCACCCCTGCACCCTCTCCTTGGCCACACCAAATGTTTGCTCTGTGTGTGTGTGTGTGTGTGTGTGTGTGTGTGTGTGTTATTGGGAATTGACCCCAGGGCCTCATGCATGGTAGGCAAGTGCTTTACCATGGAGATACCTCACCAGACTCTCCTTGGCCATACCAACAGGTTGCTGGGAGAGCTGGCACCCACACCTAGCAATGAGGATGGAGTCAAGGTTAAGGCCCATTGGAGACAGTGGGTGGCACCACTGATGGCAAGGGGCCCAAACGGTGGCCTTCTGGCAGAATATGGCTCTGTTTTACATAACATGCAAATACGGATCTCATTCTTCTCAGGAATGCTGCAGGACAGCTCCCTGGCTCCCAGCAGCTGAGAGCAGGCAGAGTCCTAGCTAGGCCCTCTTCCAAGCAGCAGCAGGGTTCCACCCCCACACCCTCCCTACACATCACGCCTCCTGCTGGACACCTTCTTCAATGCAAGCATCATCCACACCAAAACCTAAGGACAATATTTTTACCATTTTTGGACCTTGGCTTCCTGGCCTCAATTGAAATGATGACGTTATACACAAAGATTTTATTTTTCCTGAAATACCACTTTATGGATGCCAAGTCTCCATTAAAATATCTTTCTTTAGTCCCCACACATGCTTCATAATAACTACAGTTATTGCTTATTATTCAGCATCTACAATATTCGGGAACATAGTTACATCCTTGCAACGTCCTGGTTCAGATCACACAACAAACGAATGATGAAGCTGTGATTTATT